AGAACATGGTCAACTCTCTGCTTTAGAAAGAAATATTTTGCTTTACAAATTGCAGAATGGCAACCTTAATATTCACTGTTGGCCCAGTGGTAGTGGGGCATGTGTATAAAAAGGAGGAGAAGAAAGCAATTAGATAATGTGAGGAAACAAGACAGTTTCACCTAGCCAAGCCACACAAATATGACTTTATATCAGGCAGTAAGAAAGGCCTGGAAAACTGCTGATTGACTAGGTTATAGATCAAAAGTAATTTTTATTTTTAATGAATTAGTATGTCATTTAATCATACTTATAGTAACCTGCTTCATTTTTCTATGGGTTTTGTTCACAAGAATAAGCTCTGGATAATCTTGGCATCGACAGTCTATCCCCTCATGTCTAATATTGGACCCAAATGATTGATTTCATCAAAATGATGAGATATAACATACTTATATACTTTTAATTGTTTCCTAGTATGATTTGATTACTTATTTGTAACCTATGACCAGAGGTGGGTTTCAGCAGGTTTTGGAGAACCGATAGCGGAAATTTTGAATAGTTCGGAGAACTGGTAGTAAAAATTCTGACTGACCCTACCCCCATCTATTCTCTGCCTCCCAAGTCCCAGCTGATCGGGAGGAAATGGGGATTTTGCAGTAACCTTCCCCTGGATTGGGGAGAGAATGGTGATTTTACAGTATCCTTCCCCTGCCATGCCCAAGCCACTCCCACCAAGCCATGCTACTCCCACCAAGCCACACCCACAGAACTGGTAGTAAAAAAAATTGAAACTCACCACTGCCTACGACTATCATTAAGTGTTGTACCTTATGCTTCTTAATGAATGTATCTTTTCTTTTTATGTACACTCAGAGCATATGCACCAAAGACAAATTCCTTGTGTGTCCAATCACACTTGGCCAATAAAGAATTCTAATCTTAATAGTTATATAAAAGAAGAAACGCTTAACATCTGTGGATTATTATGCAAGATCTATGTGTTGAAATGTTCTGTACTTCGCAGCCAGTCAAGGTATAGCATCCTGCAGATCTGTTTTTTTTACCTACCTAACGGTTAGGTCCAGAGCATCAACCAAGAAAATTTTCAAGTAATTATTAGCCAGCATTTGTAGCCGCCTTCAAGAAGCAGCAGATCAAAACGTGTGTCAGTATAATATTGTAGGTTTATTAGTTCTTCAACCAAAAGTTAGGGTTAATCTTCTAGAAATGACATAATTTTCATAAACAGCCATTACAGCTAATCTTTCCAGGAACATTTGATAAATGAGTCAGTAAGTGGATGAGTCATACTTATCAATTACCAGATGCTCTTGTTAGTGTTAAGTATGAATTTTTCAACCCCCTCAAGAAGAAAGTTTGAAAATCCCTGGAAATGGAGGGCCTTTGAATCCACCATTTTTACCCATCTGAACCAGTGGTGAAATTCAATTTTTTATACTACCGGTTCTGTGGGCGTGGCTTGGTGGGCGTGGTGTGGCTTGGTGGGCATGGCTTGGTTGGATGGCAAGGGAAGGATACTGCAAAATCCCCATTCCTACCCCACTCTGGGACCAGCCAGAGGTGGTATTTGCTGGTTCTCCAAACTACTCAAAATTTCCACTACCGATTCTCCAGAACCTGTCAGAACCTGCTGGATTTCATCCCTGATCTGAACCCTAACATGTTCCAATCATCAGAAAAGCCTTGACAGGATCAACTGATCAGTCAGATTGGGGATATACTGTATAACTGGCATGTTGATGTTGCCATGCTGACTGAAGAAATGTTCTCTTGGCTTTGGGAATGGTGAAGGAATGACTGAACCATTGTGTGTGCGTACGCTGCGTACGTGTGTGTGTACTTTTAGAAAAGATTACTAGGTTTCAGAAAGAGGAAAGTGGGAGAAAGAAGATCAGATAACACCACCTTGATTGTTTGATAGACAAGGGGGCATACAGAAATGACAGGTTTTCAAGATCCTGTTATTCTACCCTGCAACAATAAATAGCATCTCTGCTGTTCCTGTTTCTTAACCTTACCTACCTTAAAGGGCTGATGCTAGCAGAAGAATCCCCTAATGCGTTTAGCAACCTCATGTAGATAATAAACTGGAACAAGAAAAGCTTTGGGAAAATCTTCAGGATAATTGATTGATCTGTCTCCTGAAAAAAACAGATCCAACCTTGACTTCTGTCACCCGTCTTTGCTATTTCCAAGGATCTTTTCCTATTATTTTTTGCCTTTAAATTATGTGTCAAAAATTAGTGCTTCCAATGAATAGTCAAGTTTGTCAAATATTGAATTGTTTGCTGTTCTTGTAGTTCAATCTGCCTTTAGATTTTTTCCCCAGCACTATTATTCAAAAACATAATTTTGATTTATTCAGTCTTTCTGATGGTGCACTTATCATATATTGCAACTGGGAAAACCATAGCCTTAACAAAGCATACCTTTGTTGTCAGGCTGATGTTTCTGTACTTTAATATAAATTCTTGCATAAAAGCACCTAGAGCTGTCTGTAGAACTCAAGAGAAAGAGAATAAATATTATCAAATCTCTCTTTTGAGTAAGTTCAAATTTAAGGCTTCCAGAAAGGTTTCCATAATACTAAAATGATGTCACTATACACTATATAAATTAACTATCTTAACTTTTACATGCAACTTCTTCCTTTGGAGTACTTCTGTCCAGAAGAAAAGTGGACAGTCACTGCTAAATCAGAGTCACATTGAGGTTTTATTGTTCTTGCAGTTCTTAACTTATTTGGTCACTTAATTGATTCAATTGGTGATAGAGATCAACTAGGATCTTCCTCTATTTTGTCCCTGTGGAGCAGATTCAGTCTAAGGTTTTTAGCACTGTTTTTCAGTTGTTGTGTTTATGGATATCAAACTTTATGGTAACAAGTCATGGCTTGCTTGATCACAGCATATTAAGCCATAGTACACTGGATTTACACATCTTAGACAAATCAAGGAAGCTTTATTTGGTTTCCACAAAACTCTGTAATGCATATTAGCCAAAAGAATTTAAGCTACTTTTCAGGGGTGAAATTCAGCAGGTTCTAACAGGTTCTGGAGAACCAGTAGCAGAAATTTTGAGTAGTTCAGAGAACCGGCAACTACCACCTCTGGCTGGCCCCAGAATGGAGTGGGAATGGAGATTTTGTAGTATCCTTCCCCTGCCACGCCCACCAAGCCACGCCCATAGAACTGGTAGTAAAAAAATTGAATTTCACCACTGCTACTATGTATGTAAATTTGCCCAGTGTGCTTAATTTATAATTCCACTTGTTATGTGATCAAGATCAATTGACAATTAAATGAATTATGGGCAAACAGTTTGAATGAATGGGCCTTCTACTCTACAAAATAAATGTGGCAGGACTGTTCAGATTTCATTCTGTTTGTAGGCATACATGATTTTAGAAATTAGTAGACATGAAATACAACAAAGAGTACTGTTGGCACTCTTACAGTACTATTTCCTGACACATTTTATCGTAGGATGACTGTATTTTTCTTTGCCTCTGCTAGAATTGATTATTAAGACTTACCATCAGGGTTCTTAGAATACGATTTGCATATTTATATACAAATTAATAGCCAGAATACCTAATACAAGTATTAAAAACATCCTACCTACTAATTTGCATTTAAACTTTACCAGCATTGCTACAGGTCCTTACAGAAGGGGAGGGTTTAGAAAGGAGACGCAATACCTATAATGTGAATGATGTAGGAATAGTACAGGGTCAGCTATATGAATACTGAAGGACCCTCTTTATTCACATTATTACAAGAAAGAAATGTTCTTGTTTAGAGATTACATTAAGTCAGCTAAATTCCATTCTTGGTAATATATATCTTCTGAGGGGCCTAGCTGTCAGGATGCAAGGACATCCATATGTAATATATATCTTCTGAGGGGCCTAGCTGTCAAGGATGCAAGGACACCCATATGAAACAAAAAGTTACTTATTATCCAAAGCAGCCATGAATCTACGCCTCAGCAATCACAGAACTGAGGAAGGTTGTTTAGCTAAGATAATCTTATGAACTAGAAAATAATGAAGGAATTTAGTAATTAGAAAGTGTCAATTATAATGTAACAAATGTATGTTAACCATATATGGAAAACTGCTGTGCTCACAAAATCCTTTGTCTTGGATATGTATAAAAGCAGTTGTATTAGAACTCTTCTTGGTTCAGAATTGCAGATACAAATCTGATTCTGAAACTGCGCAATAAACTGTCTCTGGCTGACCAGGAATGTTGTTTGGTCCCATCATTCCATAACACCTATATGTGGCCCAGATTTACCGATAAACGTGACAGTTCCCAGTTCCCAACGCGCACAAACACACACACAAACAAACAAACAAACACACACACACACACACAAAGACAGGCAGACAGGGAGACAGACACACAAACGGGGGGAGGGGTGATAGGGTTCATTTATTTATTGCATTGGGAGCGAACTATTCGTCCTTATCCCCGCGGCCCATGGAAGTCCACAAGGCGCACAAGGGTTTGACCAGAGAACAGAGTCGTCCTCGCGCCAAAACAGACAAGCGCGCCGGCGCTGGGAAAGCAACGCTGCCCGGCGGCGTTGGGGCTCAAGGGCAGCCACGACCTCGGTTAGGGAGCTTCCGCTTTCGGGGCTGCGCGAGGAGCTGTCAGTCAGGGAAGAGCCCCATCCCAGGGTGATGTCAGCGGATCAGCTGCTCTATAACAAAGCGGGGAGAAGCCGAGCGTGCGAGTGTCCCTCGGGCAAAGCGAGCTCCGAGGGGAAGAGCGCGTGAAAGCGGGCGGCTCTCTTCGGGTTGGGCGAGGCGGCAGCGTCATCGGCTCCCAGGCACACCTACCCAAGGCAAGGCGCCGCGGCCGAGCAAGCGGACTGCTTTTGCGCTCGGCGGGCTGAGCTATGGATAGTGACGAGGAGACGCTGGAAGAGACCGTCGAGGGTAATTGCGTGGCTTTGGGCCTAAGCCAGGGGGGGAGGAGTTTAGGCGAGTCGCTCGCGGGCGCCGAGTTGGGGGAAGTTGGGAGCCCGAGGCGGGGACAAGCCTGAGGTGTTTTTCTGTCCCCAAGCTCTGCGCGTCTCCACATGGCGAAAATGGAAGAAGAGCTCCTCCGCCGCTGGGGATTGCGGGAGTAAACGGGGGGGGTCTTTCTTTACGCCTGGTAGCTTTCCGGGAGGGGGAGTAGGGTCTCCCCCCTATTGGGGTTCGCTCAGAGGGGGGGAAAAAAACCCAGCGAAAGTTCCCATTCTTCTGTGGAATCGGTGTTTGCAAGTTGATGTGGGGCGCGTGGCACAGCCTGGACTACACTTTGGGGGGAAAGCAGCTTGGGGTGAAGAAGAACTTTCTCCTCTTCAGTAAAACCCAAAAGAGATCAGCAGGGACGATCGCGCTCCAGAGTTAGTGCAAACCTTTTGTCTTTCTTTTCCCGGGCAGAAGCGTGGCGTGGAGGCGAGGGTGGAAATGTTTCTATGCGCTGAAAGCGTCCTTCGCAGTTAAACCTGAAATCTGCTCGCCTAAAGTTCCGCTACAATCTTTCCCTTCCAGATTATTACGGTCGGGCGGTTGAGACCAAAGCGGTCTTAGACTCTCCGACCGGTTCTAAAAACATATTGTTTGTGCCTTAGTTTCTCCCTGCACTGTCCTTTGGAGGCTCAGAATAACCGTACTGTCAAAAATGTTTCCAGGAACCATGAGGTCTGGGAGAAGTTGAACATAATTTGAGACTTTCAACATTTTACATATTATTATTGCTTGAATAATTTGGAAAAATCATGTGGTTAAAATTGCAAATTTGTTGAGCTGCTTAAATTTCCTGCATTGTTGTTTTTTTTGAGGATGCAACCGGGAAGTCCACACCCCACAAATTTTCTCCAGTAATTTTTAATGTGACTGTATGTTTCTGATGGAAAAATATTAAAATGTGTAGTATTTGGAGATGTTAAAAAGTGAAGATTTGGTCTTTAAAAGTTCCTAAACAGAAACATAAGGTTTTTAGCCCTAATCTAAATATTCATTTTTATTTGTTTTTACTATTGCTCCTGGAAGTTTCTAGCAAGATTTTTAGAATTGACACATGTCAAATTGGTTAATTCTGATCTGCAGAATAATAACTATGTTGCAATCCTGGCACCCTATAATTTGGAAACAATAACTGTATTGTCAGTGGAAGGTTCTGCCTTTTGAAATAATACAAATTACGTTTAATTGCTGACTTAATGTTTAGAGTGACTGCATTTAAAATCTGAAATGTATTTTAAGTTCATTAAATATGGAATTCTATTCCTAGTTATATACAAATTAAGGGTGTGCGAGCATCGTTGTTGACTGGATTTTTTATGTGTTGACTTAGATCCACGGCAGTACTAAACATTTTTTTTCTTTCAAGACAAGGAAAAGTCAAAACTAATTAAGTACAGTATTCTAATGTGGGGCTACACTTTAAAGTCAGTTGGGCTCATCTGGGTGTACTGTAATCTGTAACAGAATGGCACATAAATTGAAGAGAATGAGAGACTAGAGGAAGCTAGAGGAAATATTTTACTAATACTGGGTAACTGAAAAGTTGATCTGAGATTTGATTCTCACTGAGTCATTAGGACACATCACTATTTACTGTATTCAATCATTTGTGAACACATCCTGTCTTATATTGGGCAAGTGCCAGTAATTATATGTGCTATAAGTATAATTAGTAAGTATATACTAACTTATAATTGAGTTATCAGCAGTTTTAATGCACAATATCACCAGTCAAATCCATATAGTACAAGTGTCACTAAGCCATAAACCTATTAGTATTGATGCATCATTTAATCCCATCAGGAAAGGCTAGTTGCCAACCTTAAAGTTGATGACTTAGCATAAATATGGCCCAAATGGTTTCTTTAAAGTTTGTAGAATTGTTTAAATCAACACCTTAAATGGAAGAAAAAAGAATTCTTAAGGCCATAGCCTGTTTTTAGCCTGTTTTATTTTTGCAATCCTCCAGCAAACAATGAAGGAATAAACATAGTGAGCAAACCCTATTTCCAGCCTTTTTGGATAAAATGACAGGTAATAAAAAATGAACACACCTGTGTGCAGAATATTTTTTTTTTAAATTTGATTTATATGCCGCCCTTCTCCGGAGACTCAGGGCAGCTTACAGTGCGTTAAGCAATAGCCTTCATACTTTTGTATATTTTATACAAAGTCACCTTATTGCCCCCACAAACTGGGTCCTCAATTTACCTACCTTAGAAAGGATGGAAGGCTGAGTCAACCTTGAGCCTGGCAAGATTCGAACTTACTTTAATTGCAGACAGCTGGTGTTAAATTACAGTGCCTTGTCTGCAATTATCTACACTCTGCAACTGAGCAGAGATATACCATTCTAATGACTGCAGACATGTACTTCCTGCAACACGAGGTATGTTATGTGTCTGGGCATGTTCAACACAAGTACTTGATCTGCACAAAGTATGTCTTACAGGAGGAGGTTGTTACATGTCCGTCCTTAGGCTCTTTGGATTATCATAAATATTTTCAGAAACCCAGATAAATTATATTTCATGTAAGATACTTTTGTTGAGATGGTAACTTTCATTTAGTAAAACACTGATCTTCTTTTAATAATGTCAGGTATCGGGGGCTGAATTGACTGTTCGTCTGAAAAGGCCAGTATGTCAGACTTGCTCCTGATAAGATATTGGCATTCCTCCATTGAATTTTATGATAAAATAGATTTACATACAAGGCAAAACCTGTTTTATTTCTTCTTCTATTCTCCTTAATCATGTCACAGTATTAAACAGAGAGATACAATTTGATCAATGCAAAGTATCCAAATAAGACTTCTTAGAGTAGTTTTGCAAAGGTTTTAAGAATTTAGGTCTGATGCAATTGGTTTATCACGTTAACATGAGGTGTATAACGGCAGTAGCATATGTGACTATGAGGGTTTTAAAAAAATTTTTGTACCATTTCATAGCTAAGAAGACATTTTTTGAAAATGAACGCAACTAAGTGCATATTATTATTATTTCTTTGAGAAGTAGTCTTGTTAGAGGTAAAATCGGGTGGGCTGCTGGGGGTTCGCAGGGGTTCAGGAGAACCTCTAGCTAAGATTCTGTGCAGTTCAGAGAACCCCCAAATCCCACTTTTGGCTGGCCCCACCCATCCTGCCAGGAGTCCCTATGTGGCCCGTTTTGGATGCAGGTAAGTGCAGGGCACACACGGAGCATCAGAGAGGGCAAAAAATGGGCCTACCGGAAGTTCAGGAGGGCCTCTGGAGCCTGGGGAAGCCATTTTTGCCTTCCCAGAGGCTCGAGGAAAGCCTCCGGAGCCCAGGGAGGGCAAAAACGCCCCCCCCCCCGCTGTGGTGCAGGAGGCCAACTAGGCCATGCCCACCCAGGAACCGGGCCGAGAACCCCTTGCTAAAATTTTTGAAGCCCACCCCTGGGTAAAATAGCATTTGGGAACTTTCTCTTTTTTCCTTTAAAATTAAATATCAGGCTCATAATGTAAGATTATATGAATTATCCATTTTCACATAAACATTGGTAGAATTTCAGTTTTCTTTCAAGAATTCCTGCAGCAATTCTGACTTCTGTTAGGTCACTTTTTTCTTTAGGTTGGTTGGATGATCAAATCTTTGTAGTGGAATATGATCGTCATCACCAATGTGACGTGGCTTCTTTGAGTGGCCAGGAGTTTACACCTGGTTACTTGGCTTTGAAAGAGGTGGTAATGACCCTTTCTTGTAGAGTCCATCTCTTGGTCTAGCACAGAGGTCTTCAAACTTGGCAGCTTTAAGACTTGTGGACTTCAACTCCCAGAATTGAAGCTATAGCTGGCTGGAGAATTCTGGGAATTGACGTCCACAAGTCTTAAAGCTGCCAAGTTTGAAGATCTCTGTGCTAGCAATTCTGGAAAGTTTTCACCCATGCCTTTTAGATAAGGTTTTTGGTAAGAATCACACCTGAATTAAGTCAGTACTAATAGGGGAAGAGTGTTAAGTCCATAGTAGTTCCAGTGCTGATTACCACAATGCTAGTCTTTTCCCCAAATTATAAAACTCTGGGAAAGATTATCAATTGGTTTGAGGTTAAGTATCATTGGTCTGCTAATGATACTGAGCTGTACTTCACCACTTTAGACCAAGTCAAGGATGCTGTAAAGGTATTAAATAGATGTTAGGAACTTGTTGTGAAGAAAGAGCTCTGATTAAACCCTAGTAGAGCTATTGTTCATCCATAAAAATCTTCTGCTTTCCTGAAACCTTAGTTCCAGCTGTGGCTGTGAGTGCAGTTGGACTAGAATGGTCTTTTCCCAACAGTTAATATGCCAATTATAACTTTACCTGGATTCAGGCACAGTAATGATTCATGATCTTATTATAGTGAATTAATCAATATATTCTACTTTAAGGATAATGTAGAAGTACTGCTGAGAAGTACTCTACAGAAAGCAGGAGCCCAGGCTGCTGTGAATAGATCCCAGCATTGCAAAATAAAAATTATTTTATGGTTGATACCCTGATTGGTAGGAGTCATTTGGGCCCAATTCAAAATGCTGACTATTTACCTATGAAACCCTACAAAATAAAGCGCTGGGTTACTTTAGCAACTACATTGTCCAACATTATTTTGCCCATCCTGGCTGATAATTAAGAGTAGCCTGTTTAAGATCCTGCACCCAGGTAAGGTGAGGTGGGTATGGGCCTGAAGATAGGCTTAAGTAGTGGCTCTAATTTTGTGGAATATGGTGAGCCTGAAAGTGTATTTATCCATCTTATTCCCAGCATTTAGGAGGCTTCTTAAAATGTTCCATTTTAAATAGCCCTTTGAGGATGCTGATAAGTGGAAGAAGGATGGTCATCTTATTTTTTATTAGTTGGTGCTTACATGAAATTCTTGTACTTAAACAACAAAAACAAATTATAGTAACACATCCATGGATTTTAACACATTTCCCTGGAATAGGAAATCTTGGATGATGGAGATTTCTTGCTTGTCTCAGGGTCAGTTTATCCCAGATAAAAATATTACATGAAAAATGATATATTTGAAAATCCCACTCACCAATTTTCATAGTGCTACAAACATAGAAATCTGTTACTCAAGTATAAAATATGCTGTAATGTGACTGTCTACATTTTGACTTTTAGTATTGTTATCAGAAGAGGTGAGATAATAAAGATCCCTGATTGTTTTGTTCACCTTTACTTCTGTGCTACTTATTTCATTTGAACAATCTCTACATTTATTCCCACTGAAAGAATTTATTTACTTACTTATTTATTTATTTATTTATTTATTTATTGGTTCGATTTATATGCTGCCGTTCTCCGGAGACTCAGGGCGGCTTACAATGCATTAAGCAATAGCCTTCATATTTTTTGTATATACCTGCTTAGTAGGGCTTTTGGCCCCCACAAGCGGTGTTCTTTTTTTTTTAAATACAAAGTCAGCTTATTGCCCCCACAATCCGGGTCCTCATTTTACCTACCTCGAAAGGATGGAAGGCTGAGTCAACCTTGAGCCTGGTGAGATTTGAACTTGCAGTAATTGCAGGCAGCTGGTGCTAGTTAACAGCACTTTAGTCTGCTGCGCCACCAAGGCTCTTCCCAATGTCTCGAGCCTCCTTTGTTCTATCTAATCTAATCAATCCAAATATTGCCAGTGCTTCTACATCTGTCTCAACTTTGAAAGTTTAGCAAAATGTGATCATCCTTTGAATGTGTTTCTCAGTTCACATGTTGATTCCAAAGAAATAAAACTGTAAGATCAATAGTTCATTGTCAACTTCTATAAAGATGCGGTGGAACAAATGTCAACTATAGTTAGCAATGCAGTCTGATACAATTACAAGTCAGCTTTGTCTGAAAACTGACAGTAATAAAATCTATGTTTTCTTGGGCAGCTGATGCAGTTTTCATTCTTGCAGATAATCAGGTAAGTGGCAGTATCTGCAATACACATTTTTAAAAAACCAGTTTGTTTGATCTGAGTCAAACCTGAGAGAACAAATATTTTAATAGACTAAATATTATAATGTCAAGAAATAAAACATTGGAAACAATATAACCTAAGAATTGTTGCAAGTGCATGACAAGATACAGAAAAAGATACGTTTGAATCAAAACACATATCTTGTGATCTAAAAATGTCCAGCTGTTTGAACTGAGTCTATATGTCTTTGTATGTCTAAATCTGTAAAGAATGGAGTAAAATAAAACCTATGACTCCATGCAAATTTGGTACAGTATGCATTAAATTTGCTGCAACATTCCTGCTGTCAAAATGATGCCCTGTATAAATTTGGGATATAATGGAATAAACTATGAGTAGTGTTGACTCATCTGATTCGGTCATATATATCTCACTGAGTCATGCTTCAAAATGTTTTCACTTGTCTACTTCATATATCAAAAATGAGATTTGTCCATGGAATACAGACTCTTTGGGGCATGCAGATATAAAATAACAAAGTTTGAAAATATGTCACCCATGACTTATTGGGATTGTGTCTGAGTTATTTTCTTTGCTTGGCATAAAGGTTATTTTACATCAATGAACTGGGTCAGTAGCACTTGTCTGACAGCTACAGTATGTTTGCACAGTTTATTCATTCTTACATCTCTACATGCATAGATTTCCTTAATAGAATGTAATCTCTCCCATAATATATCTGTTTTGCAGAATGCTGGTCATTTGGCCCTTATGCTGTCCTTTCATTCTCCACTCAAAACCTATATCAGGCTCTGAAAGAGGAGAGGAATGTATTTATCAGTGTCTTGAATAATAGTTTAAGTGGATAAATACTACACTTGTACTAAATTTATAAATACTCAAGCTAGTTTGTGTGGCTGGATAAAATCAGCATCCAATGCTGTTTCTTATAAGAACAGATTGCTTGTGTGAGTCCCACTGGTTTTCAAAATAGTTTTTTATTGTTATTTTTTTAGGAACACTTGATGATGATGGTATGCCCCATGGGTTTTGTATAGTCACATATTCTTCCACAGACAGATTTGAAGGGAACTTTGTGCATGGAGAAAAGAATGGTCATGGAAAATTCTTCTTCTTTGATGGAAGGTAGACATCACAGTGTCTTGAGTTCTTTCACTGGATTCCGAATTCATATTTAGCCATTTAGACACAGATATATTATATGTTGTACCAGAATTAGTGGGTAGGCATAACATATTAAACTAGTAGCCATGATTTAAAAATCACAGTGTTTGGAAACATAAAGCATGTTGATCTATGAAATAAATAAGAGTATGACTTAGTATGTTATAGATAGTCCTTGACTTACAACCATTGACTGTTTGATGTTACAACAGCACTGAAAAATCTGTTAGTTACACTTACAACTGTTGCAAAATCCGGATGATCACATGATTGACATTCAGGTGATTGGCAATTGGCATATATATATGAGGGGTGCAGCATCCCAGGGTCACATGATTGCCATTTGCAATATTTACCCAATTAGCTTCCAACAAGCAAAGTCAATGAGAAAAGCTAAATTTGCTTAAAGTTCATGTGATTCACTTAATCGTAAAAAAAGATCATAAAATTGGGTATAACTCACTTAACAACCTATTTGTTTAACAGTCCAAACCAATTCTGGTCCAAACTGTGGCCTTGAGTCAAGAACTACCTGTATATAAAGCCTGACTATTTGCTGGGTTTACTTAAAAAAAAACAATCAGGTAAAATGACATGTTACAAACTCCATTGGCTTTATACAGTTATTTATTTATTTATTTATTTTAAAAATTATTTTTTAAAAAATGGTAGGATAATACTTTATAATGTTGGGATAATCATTAGTAAAGCAAAGTAACAAATTACTTGCACTGTAGACCTAATGATTCGCCCTGCATTCTTTGACTTCTGTTCTATATTATATGGAACAAAAATAATTATTAAGTTCTTAGAAAAAATAAGTTATAAATAGTAGACATATTCTTGGTTTTCTCTAAGTTTTTTGGTTCATGTTCTTTTCTCTGAAGTCATTTCAGTGCCTTTACAGTGTATATATGTTTTGAAGCCTCAAATATCTTTGTCTCTTTAAGCTCATTGACCCAAAGTGCTGAAAATGGAACTAGGATTCAGTCACTTTCCCCCTTGCCACAACTTTGCAATAATTTCCCGATTCCTTTAAATGGAAAAGAACAATAATATATCATAAGGTTAGAATGTGTAGGAAATATTACAAAATATCAGTCTTCACTATATAAAGTTTATTGTCATCCCTGACATTTATCAGAAAAACAAGGCGGATTATTAAAAACCTTCTTTAAATAAACTAAAGCTGTGAGTTACATCATAAAAAACCAGAAACATATTGATCATAATAAAACCTTGGACATGAACAGTCTATCCAATAGGACTGGTCTTTTTTTCTCTGTAAATGAGATAAAATAACAGTCATTTCTACACTATTCTTTTTTCTTTGCTAGCACGCTAGAAGGCTTTTATGTTGATGATGGTTTGCAAGGCCAGGGAACATACACCTATGAGGATGGAGGCATACTTCATGGCACGTACATTGATGGTGAATTGAATGGGCCAGCTCAGGAATATGATGCTGATGGACGATTGGCCTTCAAAGGGCAATACAAAGATAATATTCGGCATGGATTTTGTTGGATTTACTATTCAGTAAGTTGTCTTATTTTCTCATGTATTTTACCATGTAACAATAATAGTTATACTGAGGAATCTACAGGGGTCAAGGGAGAGCTTCACATCAATACAATGAAGGCTTCATCTCTTTTGTATATAATGTGATGTAAAAAGCATTACAAAAGAGGCAGAAATTGTTTTCATTATTTTGTTCACTTCTTCACAGCTAAATGGAGATAGGTTGTTACAGTTTGGATGCAAATTAGTATCTTATTTTATTACAGTTGTGTATTGCCAAATCTGGAGTGACTAATGGAAGTTTACAACAAGAATAATATACATAATATAAATTATACAAGTATACATGTACACTACAAGCATATAACTAAAACGGAAAAAAATAAAAATAAGAAAAATAAATGAACATAGTTGAATATAATTGTTCATAACTCTACCAAATTTAAATGCAGAAAAGTTCCACCTTAGCAGCTTTATAGAGTGACTCCAGGGTTATGTTACAAGTAACACAACATAACCTTTCTGTCATATGTAAATTTTCTGCATGTGAACAAATGCATGAACTATCTTGTGTGGCTTGAATAAAGGTTGTAATAAATAGAAAAAGTCCAGACAGTCTGGTTGCCTCTCGAAAAAAAGCACCTTTGGGACAACCTGAATGACTGAGAAGCTCCACAGATGTAATAAATACCTTCGAGATAATCTTAACTAATTTTGATATAGAATAACTACAGCAGAATTGCAGTTGTTTTCATAAATGAATCAATGGCTCTATTCAGGATGCTCAAGCTAGTGCCTTGCCTGAACTGGTTCTGTAGAGACTCTGTCCTTCCTGTATACAACCTTCCATTGGTAACAAAATGTTCTTAATTATATAACTTGAAGAACAAAGCATGGTATTGGATCCCTATACATTGTTCCTGTCTTTCCCCCAAAACAGGTTTGAAGGCAGTGTTAAGCTATGGAAGAAGACTGAATAATAGCCCTTTGCACTCAGTTCTGAATTGTCACTAGGAAAGTAAGACAAGAAAATATCTTGCTTTGTAGCCATAACTAGCAAAAAAACTCCCATATTACTAAAGTATTTTATATGCAATGTTCTTCACTATGATACCCTTTACGGCTACTGGGACTACAATTCCTAGATTTACTTGTCAACACAGAAGTAGCAGTTGCCTGATATCTGAAGATTGCCAACTTGGAAAAAGCTGAATGAAAGTTCGGCAAAATTAATGAACTCAAATGCAGCATAATCCAAGTTATGCTAGCTGAGAAGCACAGGATGAAGCACATAATATTTCTGTCTATGGAAAGAACTTTCTGTCATCTGAAAGTTGACAGAACTATTTTTAAATGTTTTATTTAAACATTTTAAAATTATGAGCTATCAAAACTCTCTTTTGGTAACCTAATAAACCCACCAGCAGAATTGTTCTGTTGATTAAGATATATTAAGTTGAAAATAGAGAAACATAGAGAAAAATTGAAAGGAGAAGAGCTGAATTACATAGCATTCAAAAGAGAAAAAAATGCCAATAAAAGCTAGTCATGATCTGTTCTAATTGACAACTTATGAAATCCAATGAGAGCAAAAATATAGTCCTTTGTATCCTAACCCATTCTTTCAGGCATAATCACCCTGAAGTTTGGATACAGCATATTTTCCAAACTCAGTGGTGTCTTAGCTCTGTTAGAATCTGTTAAGCTTTGGAAGCAGAACAGAGTAAAACTGGTTATTTTATATATTTTATGCATGTAATTTATTTTGTAAATGGAACCTCTCACTCAAATAATTTTCAACTAGAGCTAGACAGCTTGAAAATCCCTTGTGAGACAGCTTTCTTTTTCCTTAGTATCTATTTTTTAAATTTTAAATGTATATGCTGCCTTTTTCATCCTTACAGACCCAGCATTTTACATTAATAGGACTGAAATGATGAGTGCAGAGGTACAAAAGCCAGAGTAAATGAAAAAAACAGGAAATGAAAAAATAAAGTTCTAACTAGCACTTTTATTATCCAGATGAAAGTTTTTCACACTTTGTTCCCTGGAACTCTAAGGTTCTGTGAGAGATTAAGGACACTTAAAAAAAAGAATCACTCAGAGCCAGTTGTCTAACCCCAGAGTTTTGCCTTTTTATCAGGGTACTGGAAATGTAATTTAACTTTTTAATTTTGGGTTGAAAAAGCTTGAAAACCCCTCATCTCAATATTGAGACTAAGATTTTTACTATTTGTCAATAGTAATCTTCATTAAATTTAAAAACAGCATACAATGTTTCCCCTTAATTTTTGGAAACAGTTTTATTGCTTCTTTTTCAGGATGGTGGGTATCTGGTTGGAGAAGTTAATGAAGAAGGAGAGATGACTGGAGAAAAGCTAGCCTATGTATACCCTGATGGGAAGATGGCATATTATGGGCACTTCATAGATGGTGAAATGATAGAAGCAAGATTGGCAAATATTATACTGGCAGAGGAAGAAAAACTACAATTTGATGTTATACCAGGCAGTAAGTTGTCACTCATGTATTTTATCTCATAATATGTGAATGTCTAGGTCCTCTTAAAGATTTGACTACTTTATTAAGTTATTGTACTTACAATATATATATATTGTATATATATATTGCCTTTAGGGCCAGATTCTTGCAATAGCTAATTCTAAGTCTTTTACCAAGTAATGTAGCAATGTGAACCTATATCTGATGTTAATAATTAGGTTGGCTTTTTATATTTTGAATGTAGATTCCCATTTATAACAGCTGAATATACAAAGGAAGAGATTCTCAGAACCTTATATAATTACTGTTCGTCAGTGTTTCTTTTTCAGTCAAGCTGAGGAATTTAATTTTACATGGACAGCAGACAAAATAAATATAAATATTGTAATCTATACTGTCATTTCAGATCAAGAAATACAGCAGTATTTGTCAGCACTTTTTGACTTCCGGTTAATCTTCTAAACATTGTCTATTTTCTGAGGTCTCCCAAGCATAGTGTCAGCTTCCTGTCTAGTAGCCATTTCTTGAGTTCTTTCTGAGAGTAATGCTTTTGAATTCCAGATTATAAACTCCTTTGCTCCAGTTCTGTGTATCTAGGGCATAGTAGCTGGAAGGAAGAGAAAATGATGAAAAAAAGAGAAAAATCTTGTGCTTTTCGGGGCAGGTGAATATTGCTACTATCATGGGGTTACTTTGTCAGTTTATGCCTTATCTAAAGCTATTTGGTGTTCTTTCAAGGAGCAGTTATATAAGGGTAAAATAGTGAGATGGTAGCATATACCTTTAATAAATAAATACATGAAGAAATGTATTTTTTTAAAAAAAAAGACTTAGATGTGATATGGTGGCTGCTGTTAACTCCTTTGGAACAAAATTTAAATTATAATTTATGCTTTGGCAGCAGGATATATTGCAACTCTATACATTGATGGCATTCAGGAACAGATCCATTTTTAGAAATTGTTTACCAAGGAAAATATTTCCTAATAGATTTTAGATACCTAATATTTTAGCCGTTTGTCTGATGTGTAATTTTTAAGTTTTTAAGAGGTATGCAAAAATACTGTTTAAAGAACACTTAAAAAGTAATCCATTTGTATACCTAGTGTACGCAAATAAATCTAATTCAGAATTGATTTACAATTAGTCAAGAAGCATTATTTTTGGGTGAAGCTAAACTCCTATAGAATTACTTACAGTTGGAAAGAACATCAAAATGTATATGCAAAATTCTATGTTAATTGATCCTAAAATAGTGGTATTTAAAAAAATATTAAATTTGTGTAACATACATCGTACATTTTTATTCTATATATTATTTTCTGTACTGATTTATTATAGGCCCAGTTTACAGTTTTGATAAATCTACTTCATCCTGCATTTCTACGAGTCCACTTCTTCCTGACCCTTATGAATCAGAGAGGTAGAATGTTTTATTAAAGTTTTGTCTTTCCATGCAAATATTTGCAAATAATATTTCACTGGGTTACACACATTAGTATACTATCCATTTACTTCCTTTCCACTTCCAAATATTAATCCTTTATGAGAACATAGAGATTGTCACATTTGACATCAATCTAGTCATGTTTTTTTCAAACTGTGCATTGAGCCACACAAGACTACCCCAATGAATTCACAAAGGTGCTGTGGGATCATAAACTCCTAGCTTGAAGTAGTTCACAGTTTTGCATAGGAGCACCATGAAAAAATTACCAAGGATGTCGTGAACTGAGAAACTCTGGGAATCTCTGGTCTAGTCTGTTTTTCGATGAGCTGGTTTTGGCTCTAGTCTGTCTACTGAGTATTTGTCTATTTGAGTATATTCCATGTGTGTGTGTGTGTGTATAGGTGCATGCACATGCACAGTGTCAGGTGAGATAAAATCAGAATAGCAATCATGAACACACAATCAAATCCCTGTTGCTTTTCATATGTATGCAACACATATTAAAATAGGTGGAACTTTTAGCACACACTCATAACTGTCCTCTTGCTTTTTTTTATTACCCTCCACAAAGTTGCCTTACAGCAGGAGTATCAAACTCAAGGCCCGGGGGCCAGATTCGGCCCACAGGGTCCTTAGATCTGGCCCGCTGTGCCACCCTGGAAACAGCGAAGGACCAGCCTGTGGTGCGTCTGCCAGCAAAAATGGTGCTCAGGGGGGCTGCACACGGACCTTGCGAACTCCATTTTTGCTGGCAGAGGGTTGCAGGAGGCTGTTGCAGCCGAAAACAGAGCTTGGAAGCTCGTTTTCGCTGGCAGAGCACTCGGGCCACTATAGGTGCCCCTGACATGAGTGACCGAGCTGGCCATGCTCATCCTGGCCACGTCCACCCCGGGGCCCTGAGGTCAAACACAACCCTGATGTGGCCCTCAATGAAATTGAGTTTGACACCCCTGCCTCACAGCATAATTTCATATGGTTATACTCTGAAATATGTGTTGTGTATTAAATTCCAAGACTGATTTCAAAGGATTGCAGTTGGTATAACCTAAAAAGCCTTTTTGAAATAAATTATAGATTGGAATTCATTTTTAATTATCCACAGATAATCCAAAACTAAGGATAATATGGAATGTGCAATTTTAATTTTTTAAAAAAACATGTAATTGATATGAACGACTAGCTTATTCCCTTAAAAGTTCTTTAAACTATTTGTTTCTTTTGATATATTCCAAAATTAACACTTAGCAATATGAGCTTCACTTCTAGATTCTTATGTGTGCTCTAATAAGATCTGTCCTAGAAACCTTACTGCACATGCATGAAGTTGTAGATCAGATACTATTTTTATTCATTGCTTTAATTTAGGGTCTTTGTAGATGCATCTCTTATTTCCAATGCTGGAGAAGGTTTATTTACTAAAATAGCTGCTGAAGCTGGCACAGTGTTATCTTTTTACAATGGTATACGAATTACACATCAAGAGGTAAAGTACAAAGAAACATTTTCATTGCTTCTGTAACAACGTCCATGTTGCTTATTAATATTTCAATAGTATTTTCATGGTAACAACATTTCATTAAATAGAAAGATGGGGTGTATGTTTATGCCATTTGTACTACTAACTTTTGTGCTAATTCACATCTGTTATTTCAGATGTATAAAGCAGCAGCCCCCAACCTTTTGGGCACCAGGGACCGGTTCCGTGGAGAGACGGTTTTCTGCGGACTGGAAGGGGCATGGTTTCACATGCTGCCTGCATCTTTCTGGCATGACCAGGGATTGAGGACCCCTGATATAAAGATCTCCTAGTAGCTATATAGGTAGTCCTTGACGTATAACCACAGTTGACCCCAAAATTTATGTTGCTAAAGTAAGAAATTTGTAAAGTGAGTTTTGCCCCATTTTACAACATTTCTTGTCACCTTTCTTAACTGAATCAATGCAGTTATTAAATTAGTAACATAGTTAAGTGAATCTGGTTTCCCCATTGACTTTGCTTGTCAGAAGGTTGCAAAAGAGGATCACATTACCCCACAAAACTGCAACCGTCATAAATGTGAGTCGGTTGTCAAGCAGCCGAACATAAATCATGTGACCATGGGGATGATGCAATGCCCGTAAGTCTGAAAAATGGTCATAGGTCACCTATGCCGTTGTAACTTTGAACAGGCACTGTTGTAAGTTGAGGACTACCTGTACAGCATTTATTCTTGGCAATAATAAATGCCATCTCCTCCTCCTTTCCATGATATGATTCTGTTAAATACTAAGAATAAATTTGAATGTTCTCTAGTGACAAAATATTTACACTAGTCTGCTTTTTGAGAGAGAGAAAGAGAGAGAAAGATTGAGTCAACACTGAGTTGGGGACACACACACACACACGCGCAAAAAGTCTGCTTTTGTGTAAAATTAATGAAAAGGAGAAATGTGAAAAATATGTACGCAAGGTTGCAGGTACAAAAATTTTCATGAATATTGGAGTGGAATACATTTCCCTCCCCTGTAAGCTCTGACCTTATGTGGCAGACTTGCCAAACAGTTTATATATCTGGTTCTTTCAAACTCAAAAAAAATACATGTGAGTTTTGACTTGATAAAAATAAATATTTGTCATAGCAATATTGTTTTCAATGCCAGGTAGACAGCAGGGACTGGTCTTTGAATGGAAACACGATATCCCTTGATGATGAAACTGTCATAGATGTACCAGAACCTTACAGCCATGTAATCAAATACTGTGCCTCTTTGGGACACAAGGCAAACCACTCATTCACCCCAAATTCTGTTTATGACTCGTAAGTATTTAACTTCTGCTCATGTCTTGAACTGTCACGATTATACACAATGATGCACTGATTTTGTGATTGTGTGTGTGTGTAAAGACAAACGCTAAATCATATACATGACAAATTGCCTTACTTAAAAATGAAACTAAGGAAAACATTTCTGGAAAAATGTGCCAGCTTGATAGAACAGACACCTTTAAATGAAACACAAACACTAATCCTGGCCCACTATGTATAACTTCATTAGTTTTGCATATTGTATGATTGATACCTGAAAAAACATTATGGGTAGACTAGCATTGCAAATGTGTTGTTATATAGCATGACACACCAAGAAATTTATGGTAGACTCAAATAAGTTAACTGAGTTACTTATATATAGGGGAATTTGCTACTTTTGCAGTGCTTGAATCAAAGTTTCCATTGGAATGGGTAGACTTTTAAAACTTCTTTTAAATAAAACCCCAAGGCCTTATTTTTATTGTATTGTATTTATGTATTTATTTGTATCCCACCTTTATTATTTTTACAAATAGCTCAAAGTGGCAAACATATCCAACACGCCTTCCTCCTGTTTTTCTCACAGTAAGATTTAGTACTATTTCTTGTCGGTAAGAATATAGAGTAAGTGTAATACCGTAGTGATTATTGTTAATAGCTCACATTTTTCCTGACTCCGTGTGCCTATTTGTTTTCTAGATTTGTTCACCCTCGCTTTGGACCGATAAAATGTATTCGGACAATTCAAGCAGTGGAGAAGGATGAAGAACTAACAGTGGCTTATGGCTACGATCACAGTTCCACTGGACAAAACGGGCCAGAAGTACCAGAGTGGTATCTGGCAGAACTAAGAGCCTTCCAAGCTTCCCTGAAAAAATGAAATGCAAGCAGTTTCCCTATTCAATACATTGCACTATCTTTGATGCTGGAATTGGAACAGCCTGGGGTTGATCATGCTGTGATTCTTCAATACTTTTCCCTATATTAGAAAGAGTGGAAGCCTTTTTATTTTGTTTTTGTTCCTTGCAGACTAATGTGTTTTAGCCACTCCCTTAAAATAACCTTTACATTTAAGCTAATAGTGCAAAATGAATTATTTAATATGCTACACAAGGAAGTGTGGCCTTTTGGGGGGGGGGCAACTAGTCTGCATCAGCAGCTGTCAAAATATAGAAAGAGAGCATTTTTAAAACCAAGGTTTTATCTGTACTGTGGTTTCTCTGATTCTGCGCAACTACATTTTGTATTTGCCATATTATGATGATAATAGAATTGTGCTAAGTGTAGTATTCTAAAAAGGCAAGTATAATTTCAGAATACTGCTTTAGGGTGTTTTCTATTTTGGTGCACAAGAGACCTCTCTTTACATTATCTTCTTCTTAAAGTCAGCACAAAAGTTTAAACTGCAAAAGGTTGGTAAAATGAGGACCCAGATTGTTGGCGGCAATATGCTGACTCTATAAACTGCCTAGAGAGGGCTGTAAAGCATTGTGAAGTGGCATATAAGTCTTAAGTGCTATTGCTACATGATGGTTTTTTAAGGCTCTGAGGATATGTGCCTGGAAGACCAGAGCTGCTATAACTTTAATCATGATAATCACATTTGAGTGACTTCTACTTGTCCATATGAGCATTTTCTACTGCTTGTTTTTGGTTTCTTACACTGGAGAGCATAATGTCAGTTTATATAGAACAAATGAATCAAGGATATACCAATAAATTCCTTGTTTGCTAAATTTATCTTTTTCTTGCCTTTAATTGGTAATTTACAAAATCCTGGAAGCTACCAATACTCATCAAAGGCAGATTTCTGTAAAGGTGGGAAATCCTACATTGCAAACCTTTTTTAAAACAACTGCAAAGTAATTCAGAGAGTTACATGGAAAACTCAACATTTTTACTATGAAGCGAATTATACTTGAGATTGTCAAACAGTTTTACGGGAATCATGAAAGTACATTTTACTAATCCTAGCTAACATTTAATAATATCATGATAAAAAAGTAAACTTTCAGGGATCTGACATAGCCAGTTACTGGCATTTCTTAAACATATTTTCAAATATGTGCAATATATGTTTACAGAATATTTGCTCTGTATTATACAAGTAGAAATGTCTTTTTGCATTGTACTTATTTATTTAAAAATAAATAACCACTGAATTCAGTGGGACTTTCTTCAAATGTAGAGGATGCTGGTTTCTTATGCAGAAAAGACTCTGAATATGATCCTTATCAGCAGGCTGATGATTCTGTTGATAAAACTCTGATTTGCTTATTTCACTATTTTAAATATGTAATACTATAGTCCCTAATTACAGTCTTTATACCATGCATATTTTAATTTTCAGGTTAAAAAGAGCCATTTTACTGCCAAAATAGTTTATGTAATTTATGCAACAATTTTGAAAAATTAGCATTAGCATTACAGTAATAAACTACTATTCTATTATAAGTAACAAAGCTAGAACCTACATATTGCAGCCTCATAAGGATTTAAATACTGCATAGAGTAGAAGGCATATAGAGGTGTACACTCTAGGGGTCTTTTTGGACCCTTGGCTCCTGCCTGTGGCAGCTGTGACTAGCAGGTGCTGACAGTCCCTAATGCCCTTGTGACTTCCTATCTGGAGTATTGCAAGGTACTCTACGTGGGACTTTCCTTGAGGAAGCTTCAACTGGTGGAGAATGCAGGTGCACGAGTAGTAAATAGTATTGGAAATTTGACACGCATAACATCATTATTTCCTGAATTGTGCTAGTTGCCAATGTGTTTCCAGATGCAATTCAAGAGAGCTAAATTTAGAGTTTATTATTAAGAATTCAGTCCTTTATCTGTTTATCTAAGGGAAGTTTTACTAAAATTTCTTTTTACTAAACTGCATTTGATTTCTACGTCAAGAGAATAATGGACATTTTAAATGGACATTGATAACATGACTTCGAGATTCACAGAGTTCGGTCTGCTGTACAGTCTTCTTTATTTTCCATAATATTGTTTCATATCCTAAAAGCAATCTTATAGTAATGATGAAGCCAAGCAATTAACTCAGAAAGTGCATGGCCAACATTTGCCACCAGTAAACTATTTAAAATCAGCTATTATTGGGGATTGTTGAAAAATATAGTTACTGTCCATGAATTGAGAAATATTTGGAAACTTATTTATCGGAACTAATATGATCACTATCTTCATGAATGATAACATGTAGACATCCATTTGTCATGCTTATGCTGTGTGCTTGCAAGAGGGTGCAGAATCAAACCCAATCCTGACAAGCAATCACAATTACTGTATGCTCTGAACCTCTGAAACTACACAGGATGGTAGTGAAATGGATTTGACATTTTTAAAACACTTCGTGGTTAACACTTTTGGAAAACATTAAAATGGTTTCACCTTTTTAATGTAGATATTTGCCATTGTACATTATATTCTAATTTAGATTTCAATATGTTCATTACATTCTAATTCACATAGCCCTTGCAGTGATTTATAGTGATCAAAATTATTTAGTGTATAAACCTCTATCTACAGCCCGCACGAAATTCAACAGAGGTTATTTGCAACTGAATTTTCCCAAACCTGTAGCCATTTTCATTTGTTCAAAATGCTCAGTGAGTGATGCTAACTAGAAATCCTAGGTTCTAACTATCAAAAATACAGAAGCCATCAGATGGTGAATATGATGCATTGTGAGCTTATTTGCATAAAATTTGCATCTATTGAAGTCTAGGTTCTGTATCTTCATCCAATTTTAATGGGCCTGCTGTGCCATTTTTTATAGTTTCAAACTATATAATTATATCTAGGATACTTGCATATTCAATATTGGAATATTTAGCTGTTTAGAAACAAACTGCTCCTTTACATAATTGTCACAGGGAAATCTATGAAGTTCAGAAGGACTCCATATTTTAACAAAAACTTTCATAAAATGATGTTTCAATTAAAAACCTGACTGATAAAGGAGAATATTTGTAGCTTGGGGTTGAAATGAGGGGTCCTTGGTCCTCTCTGAACTTGGTTGTTTTCTTGTAGACATTTCATTATCCAAACTAGGTAACATCATCAGTGCTCATCAGCTCATCAATTGTAGTGTTACCTAGTTGGGTAATGAAATGTCTACAAGAAAACAACCAAGCTCAGGGAGCACTAAGGACCCCTCAAAAATCTGACTACATTTTTTGTAAAGTTTGCATTCTCACTACTGCTTTTCTCTCTTTTAGAACTTTCTGTGAAACTTCCATATTGTAACTTATGAGGCTTCTTGCAGAAATCTACTTCCTTGAGTTAGAAAAAAAATCCCCTTAGCCTAGTGGAATAAATCCTTTGCTCCTCAGATGAGACTTATTTTGTGTTGGGTTAGGTCTGTGTATTTACAAAACATTCAATAATATACTAAATTCTAGCTGAATACCTGTGCTCTGCTATGAAACTATGGGATCGGGCTTGATAAATTGACACTTATAGCTTGAAAATTAATGAGTAGTTAAGATCAGCCTCTCCTCTCCCCTGCTCTCCCTCAGCCTTGCCCCACAGAATCCTTCCCTATCCTATCCCCTTCTCTCCCTCAGCCTTGCCCCACTGAAGCCTCCCCTATCCTATCCCCTTCTTTCCCTCAGCCTTGCCCCACAGAATCTTCCCCTATCCTATCTCCTTCTCTCCCTCAGCCTTGCCCCACAGAAACATCTCTTATCCCCTTCTTTCCCTCAGGCTTTCTATCCCCTTCTCTCCCTCAGATGTGCCCCACAGAAGCCTGTCCTATGCTATCCCGTTCTCTACAGAGTTATTTTCAAGTTGGGAGGGGGAGTAGAACGTCTAATTAGCATCAGAGCGTGTTATAATAATATAGGAAATACTAATGCTCTGATGGTCATTTCAAAAAAATCCTTTCTTAGTGAGCACCTAGAAGCCAAGAGGAACATACATGGCAAATTTCAAGTTTGTAGGCTTTACGGTTCTGGAGATTTCGTGATTACAGTGTAAGTGGTTTTCGCTTTTATATATATAGATTACTCAGTGACCTAAAGCAACTACTTTACTAAGGTGATGAGCCCTATCGACCTCCATAGGCATTACTTATGTTTTCTAAAACTCTGGGTAAAAGAAAAAATAATTGTACTTTATTTATAGACATTGTTTACTATACACTGAACACATTGAACACATTGTGAAAGAAATAGAAAAATGTCTCTGAGGGAAAATTGCTTTATTCTGCATTGTGAAAATAAAGCATTACATGAATTGTTTTGACACAATTTTTGTCCCATTTCTTACATTGTCCATGATAATGTGAAATTGATAACTTGGTTTACATCTGACCAAAATTGGACATTGATGGAAAGCAAAAAAAGGGAAGATTTTTCATGCTGCTTCAATCTCCATTTCAATATATATCTTACTGTATTATTTTGTTTTAATTTTATAGCTTTTTGCCCTTTATCAATATTTTAGAATTTAGTTATGTGTTATTAAACATCATTGATTCTGACCAAAATAATTCTAGAAGACATATATAGAAGCTTCAATTTCTGGACCAACTCAAGAATTTAGTGCAGTTGCAATATAAGATGATTATCTCTATGAAAATATGTATCTTGAACTACATAGTCTGGGAAATAGGTGATAAGTTAACTACAATGCTGAAAAAGTGGACTCAAATACATTCATGCTATGGTGAATGTATAGCTATAATGCAATATAATTCCAAGATCAATTTATCATGAGCCTTCTTTGTCTAATTCCTTAGGTTTTCCTTTCACTCGATTTCATTGAGGGCCGCATCAGGGTTTTGTTTGACCGGGGGGGAGGGCATGGCCAAGGGGCATGGCCAGCCCGATATCACTCATGTCGGGGACACCTGTGGTGGCCTGGGTGGTGCTGGAGGGATCCATTGTCTTCAGCAGAGGATGGTGAGACCAGGGAAAGTGCCAAACCTTGTCCTCCAGAGGAGCTTCACCGTCCTTCTCAGGCCATGCAGAAAACTCCTGGATGGTGGCGCAGGTTGTCCAGAGCCCTTGGTAGTGGAGGGCAAGTGCCCATCTCAGCCCTCTAGCTCCCAGGGTACCAGGACCCCACAGCCCAGCCCAGTTCCCCGAGGGGCTGCCCGACTGTGCTTATCTCTTCTGCTGCTGCTGTGCTCACTCTCCTTGGCCAGGTTGCTCATGGTGTGTGCGGGAAGGCAAAGTATGTGTGTTAGAGGGAGGCCCACTCCTTCTCCACGTGAGGAGACCCAGCTCTTTAACCAAAGCATCCTCAGCAATAGGATGGGAGACCACAAGGAGAGGTTAGGAGAAGACAAGGGGATGGTGAAAAGGCAGCAGGGCTGCTAGTAGCCAAGTGCTAAGGCAAGACTTCCCTCAGGCCCTTCCTCCCTCTCATAATCCTTCCTTCCTTCCTCCCTCCCTTATTACTTACTTACTTTTTCTCTTCTTTTTCCTTTCATTTTCATTTTCCTTTCTTCTTCCTTCCCCTTTCTTTCTTTTCCTTCCTTGTTCTCTTCTCATCTTTTCTTTTTTTTTCCTCTTTCTGTTTCTCCTTTCCTGTCCCTTCTTGGATGTTCAAATGCAAAAGGGGAATCATTGCACAAGGAGGAAACATGCCTCCTTGTCTTGTGATCAAATGCCACTTTTGCTAGTAGTTTGTTTTGGTAGTTTGTTTTGGCAGCAAAAACAGAGCTCGGGAGGGGCGTATGTGGCCCTCCCAAGCTACGTTTTCGGCTGCGATGTCCTGCAGCTCTCTGCCAACAAAAATGGTAGCCACCAGGTTGTAGATCAGCGTCTGGTCGGCCTGGGCCGGGCCAAGGCACTGTGGGCCAGTCCTTTGCTATTTCCAGGGCAGCCCCGTGGACCAGATCTAAGCATCCTGTGGGCCTTGAGTTTGACACCCCTGCATTATATGGAGCAAGTGCTAGGGAGGCCAATAACTCTCCCACCCCCCAATTTTTGAAAAGAATATGTTGAATACATTCAGGAAGTAATGGAAAGCAAACTGCAGAAGCAAAGATGCTACTGCCCCCCTACTGCCCAAAAATTATGCCTACATCCACCTCTTACCTCTGTTTCCAGTTTATATGCTATGGGAAACCAAAGCTATTAAGTGGTTGTGGCCACGGACTGTAATTAAGACATTATCTTCAAGTTCATCATAGTTCTGTACCCATATTTGGACATTCTCAAAGAATAAGCACATTGTATCTTGCATATGGTAGTTGAGGATAGACCTTATTTCCAGAAAGTGGCTTCTGCTGCTACCAGTCTCCAAGTTTCTTTTTCAGAACCCAGATATACAGGGAGTCCTTGACTTACAACAGTTAGTTTAGTGATTGTTCAAAGTTACAACAGCCCTGAAAGAAGTGACTTATGACCATTTTTTATACTTACGACCATTGCAGCGGCCTCATGGTCATATGATCAAAATTCACACCCCCGACAGCTGGTTGATATTTATGATGGTTGCAGTATCATGTGATCCCCTTTTGAGACTTTCTCATAAGCAAAGTCAATGGGGAAGTCAGATTCATTTAACAACTGAGTTACTAACTGAACAACTGCAGTAATTCACTTAACAACTAGGGCAAGAAAGGTCGTAAAATGGGGCAAAACCAACTTAACAAATGTTAGCAACAGAAATTTTGGGATCAATTCAATGGTGGGTTGCTCCTGGTTCAGTCCGGTTCTATAGAACCGGTAGTAAAACCGGCAGGAGGCTCCGCCCACCCGCCACAATGTCATCATGGGTGATCTGCGCATGCGCAGAAGTGCGTGCGCTCCCGTTGCAAACCGGTAGTAAAGGTAAGTGGAACCCACCCCTGGATCAATTGTGGTTGTAAGTTGAGGACTACCTATATTTTCTCTACTTTCATGAATATCCCTTCTTGGGGCTTCAGAACTCGCATAACAACTTTCTAAAGAATTATTTCCCTCCATATTATGGAAGAACATATACATGTATTAATATTTACAAAATAGAGGACAACATGCAAATTACCTCTTATTTGTATTTCCACACCTTTTTCTCCCTGCTTGTTATGTTTACATGGAACAGTACATTTCCAAAGGCCAATCTCCTGCACAGATGTTGCCTCAGGGCAAGATACTACATTTGAACTCTGATGGGAAACATTGCAATACAAGCTAATTGCACCAAATGAGAAAAAAAGCATTTCTTGCCGAGTCATTTAAAATGTCAAGCTGAAATATTAAGATGTGATAAACACAGTTTTCCTGCATGCTACTTTACATCAGTGTTGGGGAGTCTTGTGTCATAAAATAAGTTTCAGAGCACAGATTCCATTAACCTTTTATCACTACAATAGTTAAACTGCCTAGGATACTGGGAGTTGTACATCAACTTAACCAGAGGGCACAAGAATCAGGAAGACTATGTCTCTTCTCCACATGCATAATGTGAGGATTAATTCTTTATGGGAAGCCCTGGTAGCTGTTCACTCAGCAATTGTTTATGTCCACTTAAGTAGCTGTACGCTGGAAGGTGGAGCGTTATTAATACTTCTTAACAGATTAAACTCCAAACTTCTACAGGAAATGCATTTTTTAAATTGTACGCAATGGGTTAAATCCAGAGATAGAAGGAAAGGCAACAAGAGAAAGTATTACCTGCAAAAGGGAAGGGCAGGTAAACGCATTATGTGGGTGGAGCAAGATTTTATTCTGATTGCAGGAAGGAAAGAGTGGGGCTTGGCAGCCAGAGCCAGTCCCTGGATGACCAAGTCATTCCCATTGGACTGTAGCTGCTGGCCTAGGCTGGTGAACTTCTCAAGCTTTTTTTGAGTAAGGATCTTAAACCTGGCTGAGGTAAGGCAATGCTGAGCATACACACCTTGTTCCCACCCATGGTGTTTAGCTGAGTTTCTCTTTTGCTTTGGCAGGAGGTGCAAAGGCTTTGTGCTGTCTGTTTTTCCCCAACTTCCTGTAATTGCTCCTTTTCTTTGTTGGCACAGTGGGAGAAAGGAGAACGTTCAGAGGTGAGTTCAATTTTGAGTATTGCCTATGACAAAGCAAATATGTGCTTGAGAGATGGAAAGTGTCTTTCTCTGCTTTTCCAGCATTAAAATCTTTTGCCTTTCTGTCTCACATGCTTTTGTTTGGTCTTCTATACGGAGCTTCTGATTACTGGTTATTTTAATCTTCCCAAATTCTTTCAGAAAATGATCCATGGCTGGCAGAGGAAGAACTACTTGACTACTTTGAGATATTTCACTCTTGTTGACTTACAGAATTACCAGCACAACCTAAATATTTGAATTTTAGTCCTTGCTTCCATGATATTGGCTTTGTCCAAAGCATTGCTTTATACAGCTCTTACAACCATTTATTTAGCAACTGGTATAGCCGACATAGTCATACTCCAGTCAGTATCAAGGATGCAGCTGTAGATGGGGTCAACAGTATTAAGTATCTGGGGGTGCAGATTACTAATAATCTGAATTGATCTCTCCACATGTCATCCTTAGCAAAGCGTGCAAACCAGCATCTGCATTACCTGTGTCGGATGACGAGAGCACATCTTTCTTCTTCTGTCCTGGACACTTTTTACAGAGGCACAATTGAGAGCATTTTAACAAACTGCATCACTGTTTGGTTTGATGGTAGCAGTGCCTCAGAGAGAAAGTCCATACAGAGAGTGGTAAGGACAGCCGAGAAGATTATAGGAAGCTCACTTCCCATTGTTGCAATATTTTCAGGATCAGACTCAATAAGATCAACAAGAGTTAAAGATTTAACTATATATTCTTTATTTACATTAGGCATTCTATATTCACTGAATATTCACAGATAGAAGCGAGGGAAATGGTGTAGGTAGCTCCTTATATATACAATGGGTGGAGCTATATGTGGGAGTGGTGAATTATGAATACATTAAGAAGTGAAGAATAAGTTAACCCCTGATACCCTGTCTGTACACTATTTACACATTGGAGAATAAGGCATTTACATCTGACAAATCCCCCTCTAAATGCCGATTCGTTATACAACACCAGTTACATTCAGATTCAGGACAATACAAAACATACAACTTAGAGGTTAAGTATTTATGCTGTTTAGAAGGTAAAGGCTTCGTTAATATATCAGCTAATTGTTCTGAAGTGTCGCAATGCACTGCTTTAATAAATCCATCCTGAGATAATTGTCTCACATGTTTAAATTTTATATCTATATGTCTGGACCTTTGTCCAATGGCATCAGATCTAGATATTTCAATGGCTGCTTTATTGTCTTCATGCATAACAAAAGGCAGAGCAGGTTTTTTCCAGACATCTGAAATTAAATCATTAAACCATACAAGATTATTTGCGGCCTTGGATAAACAAACATATTCCGCTTCTGTTGTTGAAGTAGCCACTAGTTCTTGTTTACCAGTGTACCAGTAAACTGGACAGTCATTTAAGAGAAATACATAACCAGATGTGCTTTTTCTGCATGAGGTGTCTCCAGCCCAATCTGCATCTGCATAACACGTAAGCTTTGGTTCTTTAATATCATTAGGTTCTAACATTAAACAAAAGTCTAGTGTACTTTTTAAATATCTTAAAATTCTTTTAACAGCTTCCCAGTGGTACATTGTTGGTTTGCTGACATGCCTAGATAATAAATTGAGTGGTAAAGCGATGTCCGGTCTAGTCCAATTAGATATGTAAAGGAGTGAACCTATGATTGATCTATAGAATGTATTGTCCTTGAACTCGGGAGAAGATTCATCAGAATTCCTTAGAAAGTCAGTTTGCATAGGGGTATCACAAGGTTTGGCATTGTTTAAGTTGCATTTATTTAAAAGATCTATGATCTTATCTCTCTGGGTAAGTTTGAATCCCCTTTTTGTCTTATTAATTTGGACACCAAGGTATTTGTTTACCTTGCCTAAAGATTTCAATGAGAAATGTTCATTTAGTTTAGTTACAAAAGTTTCTCTTCTTTCTTTATGTTTTCCTATGTATAAAATGTCATCCACATAAATCAATACAAATTCAATGTAATCATCACCCCTCTTGACAAAGAAACAATTATCAGCAGTGGTAGCGTTGAAGTCCATGGTCTTAAGTACTTTTACTAAACAATCATACCACCGTTTACCAGATTGTTTTAGCCCGTATAAACTCTTGTTTAACAACCAAGTCTCATTTTTGTTTGTGTATGGACTATGAGGTGCTCTCACGTATATTTCTTTATCTAATTTTGCGTGTAGGTACGCAGTCTGTATGTCATATTGGAATACATCTAGATTGAGTGCTGAAGCTACCACTAGAGCTGTTTTGACACTCTCTGTTCTTACAGTGGGGGAATACGTGTCAGTATAGTCCTCTGGATATTTCTGTGCATAACCCTGTGCAACCAATCTAGCTTTGTATAGAGTATTTCCTCCCTCTAAATTCTTAATTTTATATATCCATCTGGTACCAATAATTGTCTTATCTTTAGGTGCAGATGCAGGTGTAAATACATTTAGTCCTTGTAAACTTTCCATCTCTTTCTTCATTGCTAATTCCCATTTTTCTTTTTCTTCGTGAGGAAGTTTTAACACTTCCTCGTATGTATTGGGTGTTGTTGGTTCACCATTCATGTGCATTACATAATCCTTGTATTTATTTGGCATTTGATTTCTGGTGTTTCTAATGATTTTCTCGAGTTTACTATCGTTATCATGCAAATATCTTGCTTCCTTTTTTGTTAGTGTGTCTGTCTTTATTTTGAGTTGGCTATTTGTCCAAGTTTTAGTTTTGTTTCTATATTTGTTGATATTTTGTTTTTCTATAGTCCCTTTCTCATGAGATTTTGTATCTTCATGTTTATTTGGGAATATCTCATTAAGATGTAATTTAGACCAGTTAGCTTGTTCATGGAACACAGCTGTTCTGGAGACTATAAATTTGTTGTTACCATCAATGAATCTGTATCCTTTAGTGCCAGTCTCATATCCCATAAATCTGAGTCTCCTGGACACATTTTCTCCCTTTCTTCTTAATTGTTTAGGTATGTGTACGTCTGCTGTGACTCCAAATATATGCATGTGTGCTAATTTTGGTTTTCTATTATACATCACTTCATATGGTGTCTTATTTATAATGCTGGACCATGTTCTATTTTGTGTGTAATTTGAATAATGTAAGGCTTCTGACCAGAATTGTTTGCTTAAGCCAGCATCTTCCAATGTGCATCTAATCATGGTTTGTAATGTGGAATTTTTTCTCTCTGCAATCCCGTTTTGGAACGGAGAAAATGGACTAGATGTGTAATGTAACATTCCTTTGTCTTTTAACCATTGTGAGAATTCTTTAGACATGAATTCGCATCCTCTGTCTGTCATAATTTGTTTTATTTTGATGTTGTGTTGTGTTTCTATGCGTTTGTAAAATTCTTTAAATTTTTGAAATGTTTCATCTTTGTGTTTTAATGTGTAAACAAATCCATAGCGGCTATAATCGTCCACTATTGTCAGGAAGTAACGTTTCCTATAAGTGATTGATGGGGTTAATGGACCAACTAAGTCCATGTGTACTAAATCAAAAATTTTGTTAGTTGATCTGGTAGATTTTTTTGGCCTGGGACTAGTTTTTAGTTTTGTAGATTTACATACTGAGCATTCCAGATAATTTTCACAATTTTTTATTTTGACACCTTCTGCGTGTTCAGTCATTTTTTGCACTACAGGAAAACTGGCATGTCCTAACTTCCTATGCAATATGTGAGCACACTCATCATGAATTGGTTTGCCTATCTTTGGCTTCTTATCGTTGTGTGCATCTGTGTGATCATGAGATATTTTACATTCATCATTGTCACTGTTGCTAACATTCTCATCATCTATCTCAATACAATCTTCCATATTTGAATCAATGTTATGTAACCATTTTTCTTTTGTTATTAGGTAAGGTAGTCCTCCTTTAGTCACCACAGTGCCTACATTTATTTTATTCTTTTCCAAAGTTGCCTTTCCTTTTGAAAAGACAATGTTAATGTCAGAATCTCTGCTTAGTTTTATGGCACTTAATATGTTATGAGGTATTTCAGGTATTAGTAATACCCCCTCTATTTTTCCTAAACCAGGTAAGGTTACATTTCCTCTACCTAATACTTGAACCTTTTCTTGGTTAGCTACCTTAATTACAAATTTATCTTCTGCAAATGAAGACAATATACTTTTGTTATTAGTGGTGTGATTAGTTGCTCCAGAATCAATAAGCCAATTATTGTTCTCACTTTGTTGTGTGTTAGTGTTGTCTTGTTTATTTAATCCATTCAGTGAACCAGACTTTCTATCCTTTGAATTGTCTCTGCCCCCTCTATTCTCTCTGTGATTTGGTGGGCTCCTATATCTATGCCTTTCTATGGAAGGCTGTCTATAATCGTATTTGTTTCTGTATTCTGATCTATATCTTTCTTTTAAGAATTTTGGGCAATCTCTTCTATTGTGTTCCCTGGATCCACAATTATGACATTTAAATGTTCCACTATATTTTTCTTGGAAAGCTACTTTCCTATATGGTTTATGTTCTGTGTGATTGTTAGAACGATTCCTTCTAGAATTATCTTCTGTTATCAATTTGTTAGATAGACTTTCTATGGATAAATACCCTAGATTGATTGTGTCTAAATGTGACATAAAATTGTCCCATGATGGATCAAGTGAGTTGATAATGACACTTTTCATTGTTTGGTCTGAAATCACCTCCCCCCTCAAATGCAGTTCAGCTCTTATTTTGTTCAAAGATATTAAATGTTCACTTATGGAAACCCCTGGTTTTATCCTAGATGAAAAGAAGTCTTTAGATATCCTTGTGGTGGTGGCTACACTGTCACTGTGAAACAAATTAAACATGCATTGAATAATTTCTGAAACAGTCAAATTTGGCTTAATGCTGTGATACATTGCAGGAGACACACTAGATATTATTAAGAAAAAAGCTCTATGGTGTAAACAATCTATTTTTAGTGTCCAAGGTCTTTTTGGGGGACTAGTGATAAAAAACAGTAAGTTTTCCTTCATAAAGACAACCTGGAGCTGTTGATACCATTCTTGTAAATTAATGCCATCAACCCTTAGTTTTGGGAAGTCACTGGGTAAATTTCCGACATTATTGGGTCCATTACTTACAACCTGAGGTAGTCCGTGGTCTCGTAAATGCAGAAAATTGCAAAACGGCGTGGGGATGCTCGCTACTAGTCTGCATGATCTTCTCTCCTGTTCATGTCTTCCCGGATCGTCAGCGTAGTTTCGCGCATGCGCGTTGCTCATTTCTTCTTCGGCGTCGTCGTGGAAGGTTCTCCTCATTGCGGCTTGCTCGCTCTGCTCTTCTTCAGATGAGTCGGTCTCTGGTTCGACTTTGGGGGTTCTGGCGACGGTGGCTGTTCTTCCTCTTCTATTGAGAGCGTTGGTGCTTGCTTCGGTCTGCGGCGTAGGGCGGTATCGGCAGGGCTCTCTGGGTTCCGGCGTCAGCGTTCTAGTAGTCAGGATGGGAGCGGGCAGGTCTTGAGGCATTGGCTTGCTCGTTCGCTTTTTTGGTGTCTTTTTAGTAATTTTCAGTTTTGGCCCAAATGCAGCAAAGAGCGTTTTCATCGCTGATTTTATTTGGTGTTTTGTTGGATCTTCCTCGCTTTCTGGTTCTGATTCTTCTGAGGTGTTTGAATCTTCCTTTTTGTTTTCGTTGTCTGATAATATTTTTCGCGCCAGAAATTTTGAATTGAGCTTGCTGATTGGCTCTGCTTCGTTCATCTTGGAGGCCGGTTGAAACCAAGATGGCCGCCATTCAAATTTTTGCGCGGGATCATCGTTTTTCTTCTTTGTAATGATTTTCTCCGCAGTCATATTACTCACTATTTTTGGATCTTTGGGTTTTTCATTGGTGATGTTTTTCTCTCTCGCTGCTCCGCTGTTCTTCAGCATATCTTGGAGGTTCGCGATGAGGTTTTCATCATTCTTCTGACTTTTTAATAGTTTTAATATCTCTGACCTGAGTTCGTTATTTCCTATTTCGGTTTCTTCCTGGTCATCAATTATTTCTTCGTCTTCAGTGGTGTATTCTTCGGATTCTCTCGAAATTGCATTGGTGGATTCGTTGATTATTTCTTGTTCCGTTTCCATTTCTTTGCTGTAGGCCCTGGTGTTGGGCCTATCTTTCTTAGACATCTTAAAGCTTTTTTATTGAGTCAATTAACCATCCTCTGCTACCAGTTTGTTGCAATATTTTCAGGATCAGACTCAATAAGATCAACAAGAGTTAAAGATTTAACTATATATTCTTTATTTACATTAGGCATTCTATATTCACTGAATATTCACAGATAGAAGCGAGGGAAATGGTGTAGGTAGCTCCTTATATATACAATGGGTGGAGCTATATGTGGGAGTGGTGAATTATGAATACATTAAGAAGTGAAGAATAAGTTAACCCCTGATACCCTGTCTGTACACTATTTACACATTGGAGAATAAGGCATTTACATCTGACACCCATTATTCAGGATACTGCTTATAAGCGCTATGTGCTTAGAGCACAAAGGGTGTGAGATCCCACACACCCACTTTACGGTCTGTTTCTGTTGCTCCCCTCTGGGAGGAGGTTTCAAAGTATTTCTAGCAGGGCTACCAGATTCTGTAACAGCTTTGTTCCCTATGCCATCCGTCTGGTAAACTCACAAGATTAATTTTTCTCGCCATGTACATGTATACATCCGAACTAAACAGTGTTGTTTCTCTGTGTCATATAATATTTGTGGGTATATGCATATTTATTTGTTTGTTTGTTTGTTTGTTTGTTTTATATTTTTGTCATGTTTATGTAGTGTATATTGGAAGTGGTGACCCTTTGAGAGTTGTATGCAAGAAAATTTTATTTTAATGTGTGCTGATTAGTATACATTTAAAGTGACAATAAAGTTATTCCAAGTCTAACTGTTTGAAGTTATGACAGCCCTGAAAAAGTGACTTATAACCAGCCTTTGCACTTACAACCAGTGCAGCATCCCCACAGTCATATGACCAAAATCTGGATGCTTGGCAACCAGTATATATTTACAACAGATGCAGCATCCTGGAGTTACATGATTGCCATTTGTGACTTTCCCTAACAAACAAAGTTGATGGGGGAAGCTGGATTCACTTATCAACCATGACAAAAAAAGGTCATAAAATTGGGCACAACACACTTAATAATTGCCTTACTTGGCAATGGAAATTCTGGTCCCAATTATGGATGTAAGTCGAGGACTGCTTGCAGTACAAGAAACCTATCAGTGTCATAACATGAATAGAGTAGAGTAGAGTAGAGTAGAGTAGAGTAGAGTAGAGTAGAGTAGAGTAGAGTAGAGTAGAGGTAGACAGAACAAAATAGAATTCTTTATTGGCCAAGTGTAGTTGGACACACAAGGAATTTGTCTTTGGTGCATATGCTCTCAGTGTACATAAAAGAAAAAAATATTAATCAAGAACACTTAGTGATAGTCATAAGTTACTAATAAGCAATCAAATCATATTAGGAAACAAATAAAATAATATAAATTGTAGAGATACAAGCAACAAGGTTATAGTCATAAGTGGGAGGAGATACTGTAGGTAATAGGAAGGATGAGAAGAATAATACAGTCTTATAAATAATAAAACAGAGACAAGAGCTGAAAGAACATGCAATAGTTCAGCAGTCTGTAGAGAATCTCAGTCATCCAGGTCATGGTTGTCTCAAAGGTACTTTTTTTAAGGAGGCAACTGGACTTTTTGTTTTTCCTTTGAAGACGTTTCGCTTCTCATCCAAGAAGCTTCTTCAGCTCTGACTGGATGGTGGGGAATGGAAGGATTTATATTCCTTGCAGACAGCTGGTCATTTGCATCCTTTTAGAGGGTGTTGAAGCACATGGAGGTTTATCTGTGTCCCAAGGGTCACCTGAGTAGTGCTCCTGGTTCCTGTAGTCTGCAATTATTTTTTTTCCTCTGGAAAAATGTCTTCAAAGAAAAACCAAGAAAGTCTTGTTGGCTCCTGAAAAAAGAAGCACCTTTGGGACAATACCTTAGCGGCTCTTTCAATTCTTTTAGCAGGCCTGGATTCCACAGAGCTTCTCTGTTATGGAAGGAAGCTGAACATGACAAATAAAAGAATTCCAGTTACATTTGACTCTTAGACCAGAAAAGCTGCATTCATTACTGTATTTGGATCCATCCTCTCCCGTTACTAATGCCCTTTACAGAACCTGTAGTTCCTGATATTTTAGATCACAGACTTTTCTTTCCTGTATATGGTTAAATGGTTTTAATCATGGTTGTAGGCCACCAGTTGCCCAAATAATGAGAAATTGTTAAATGCTCTGTGAGCAGAAACTTATGATAATGATAATATTCCAGTGATGATACAACATGGTTTAGTGCAATCCTACACATAATTAATTAATTAAATTTATATCTTTATCAATCTCATTGATAAAGAATCTCTGAGCTATGGAATTGAACCTTGGTTTCCCATAAGCGAGAGAGTCCAGAACAAGACTCTCAAGAGTGCTGATGAGATGTGGACCTTGAGAATGTAGATCCAAGATCCTCAGTGTGGAAAAGTGCTGGGCTGTAGGAGCACTTCTTTGCTCAACTGCATTCAAGCTGTACCACACTGCAGCATCTGCCCCCTGTCTGCCTGCATTCTGTAGACTTACCCACCTACTGGCCTGCTTGCAAAAGCCGCCTAAGGAAAGGTTTGTGGTAATCAGAGCTTGCCATTTCCTGCTGGCTTCCCCAATGATTTTGCTCATTGGAAACTGGAAGAAAGTCACAAATTATGGTCACATGAGGTCCTTGTTTAATGACCCATGATCCTCATGTAACAATGGCAATGGGAATTGTCAGAATTGCCATTACTAAGCAATGCAATGACGTGACATTGCACTTTGTGACTGCATTGCTTAGTGATGTAAATTCTGGCCCCAATTATTCTTAAGTGAGGACAACCTGTAATAAAAAAAAATCTGAAGCCTAGCTTTGTTAAAAGGAAGTGAGAAGGCAATTTCAACCCATTTCAAACCGTGTGAACTGATAATAATTGCAAAAAAATAAAAATATATGAAGAATTGTATCCTGCAGAATAAAATTCAAAGACATCTGACAAAATTACTTAATTTTTTTTTGTTTTGCTTTAGTATAAAGCAATCCAGTTTGTTTATTTTAGAAATATCAGTGTGTCACCTAAAGTTTGTAGAAATGCTAATGGACATTTTGCAAGCATCTCTATTCAGGACAGATTATAGGGCTGTCTTATTTTTAATAATCTCTGTGCTTCTTTCTGACTTGAATACATGTGTGTATTTGTTTACAGTGGAATGGATCGCTACAGATATTTCATCTTCAACCAGAGAAGCATGTTGATATTAGGGCTACTTGAGATAGCTTGTGCTACAGTTTGTGTCATCAGTGGATTAATAGATGGTGTTTTCAGAAAGGAATCAGAATTGAGTAAAACTAAGATACCTATCTGGGCTGGAGTGGTAAGCTATATTTTCTATCTTTCTTTCCAGAATATATTAAGAATGTATTGTTAGTTCCAGGCAACTTGCTGTTTCTTACTTCGCATTCAGGAAAATAAGACCTAGATTTCATAGGAAAAAGTATGACTAGGTACATAGCATTTCATGGTGATAACTATAAAGAAGAAAAATTCAGTCAAAAAATTTCCACTTCCTTTGGAGTGGCAGGTTGTTGCTTTCTGGGCTCCAAAATCTGCTTGTTGTATTGTAGAGGGTTTTTTTATATAATACAAATCTTGCCAAGTGGGATGCTTATACCAACATCTCTCCCCGATAACTTTGCTGCCTAGATTACTGAATTCACTAATATAATATGTGCCTTTAAAAGTAGTTGATTAAAAAAAAGAATGTGTGTGAAAAGCTCTACTGAATCCAGTTTTAGGGCCATCTAGTCCTAAATTTTGTGCAGCAGAATGACCCTTTGAATAAATTTGGGGAGTTTGAACAGGACTGTGTGAAGGATTTCTTCCACTACTGCTTTCCAACAATTATGACATTTTGCTTATGATACAGGTGGGAGTAAACAGTAATTTAAAAAAATGACAGTCTGATCCTCCATGAACCTATTCAAGGTCCTTTTAAAACTATCCCAACCGTCCCCTATTAGCAAAACTCTGGTAGCTAATGTGGAGCATGGTGCCTGCTACATTTCAGCTGTTGGAATTTGCCCATTGAAATCACTTCTTAGTTTTGATTTCTGAGCCGTACATGAAAAGTGAACTCTGAATGGGCATCAGAAAATAGTGTTATTTTTCAGTGTCAGCAAAGATAATTTGATTCAATAGCATTTATCTTTAATGAGGATTGATTTGTGGGTATTTGTGTTTGAATTCACTGCCTGCCTCTATCCTAGTCTGTGTTCTTAAGGTATTTCCCTGACTAAATGCTTATCATTTTTCCCAGCTCCTTAAATGTAAAAGAGCGGCTTAAAATTAGGACAGGAGACTAATAAGGTTTGCTGCAATTCATCGCAGTATCTGATTTTTTAACAGTAATATCCTATATATAAAGCTAAAGTTTCTTTTGAATCAAGCTTTGACTCCTAGAGAATTCATTTACATGGCCATGAAATTTTCTTGGCAAGAATATAGAATATTTTTTTTGGTTAGCTTCTTCCATATATTTTTTTCCAATTTCCAATCTATCTTGTAGCAGTCCATCCAACCAGATTACTAACCAAGCATGACCCCTCTTAACTTCTGTGCCCAAAGAAGGGCCTCAAGATGCTGGGACCTCTATCCATGGAATTACCTAGTCCAACTAGCCAAGCAGGCTATAGATAATTCTAAATATGGAAATTGTTTATAGTTGCCTTTGCTGATAAAGTAGGCTCCATGGGTGAAAAAGAACTTTGAAGGGCTAAGTAAAAAAATTAGGACTTTTCATCACTGTATATAATAGCTCATAAAGAATGTATCTGGCTGGCTATATTTTGGGGGCACTAAAGATTGACTTTTTTGATATTAAACGTAACCATAATATAACTTCACATTTATGTTGTTGTTTTTTTGCTATGTTATTTACTCTATCCTGTGTTTTAGTTTATGAGCATTCCTGGAATTATGGCTTTAAATTCATCTCAGAGGAAGAATCCAATTCTGGTGAGTTCCGAGTGGGTTTTTTAATATTGTTTAAGAGCAGATTTCAAAACACAATGAACGTGTAATAATAATAATAATAATAATAATAATAATAATAATAATAATATATTAAACTTGTATGCCAGCCAATTCTGAATGATTCTGGGTGACTCACAACAATAAAAGAAATTACAATCAAATCATTAAAATGTAAAAGACAAAGATAAAAAATGACACATACAATGAAGGGGTCTCACTCTCACTCCCTCTAGGACTGGGCAAAAAGCCATTTGGCATTTTTAGTATGTGGGTTAGTGGTTAACTTTCCCTAAACAACTTTAGATTTGATTCCTCTGTGTATTTTCACATAGAATCGATTCATATTGAGATATTCAGTTATGGTATGAAGAAACATTTTGTCTTCCCTGAGAAAATAAATAACCAAATCAAATCTTAAGTTTTCTGTATTCCTTATACAGGTGAATGCCACAATAATTGCTTCAATATTTTCCTGTTTCACCACTTTAACTGTAATAATTTATGCTTCTATGACATTAGAGTATGGTGAAAAACATGAGTCTAATAATGTGTCGTATAACCACCCAGAAATCGTAAGTAGCATATTTTGTGTCCAGTATTCTCTATTAAATTCCTGTTCTTTCATAAACCTTGTATACTATTCTAATTCATGCTCCTAGTGCCAATCTGAATGCAAAGATTAATATTGAGTCTTACTCTGGTTTCTTTAGATTATCTGAACTACAGATCCTGTAATGTACAGCTAATGCATGATAAACAATGAAATCTATTAGTTTGGAAGGTCTCCTTTAAACTCTGTGGTTTATAATGCAAATACAAATAGTAGCATTATATTGTGCTACCAAATGGTACAGGTACTCTTCAACATAACTGGTGACTTAGCGACTGTTCAAACTTACAGTGGACTTCCCCAGGGTTACTTATGACCCAGATTTTAAGTTCTGACCGATGCTGCCCCAGTCATGTGATTGCATTTATGGTTGTTTGCAGCAGCTTGTGGTCCAATGACTATGTTTTACAACATTCTTTATACAACATTTTTGTATATTTCTGGTTTCTAGTAAAAAAAAAACACCCATTACAAACAATGGATTTGCTTAATGATCACCACAAAAAGGTCATAAAATCAGGTGCAGTCACATGATGATCTGTTTAACGACCAGCATGACTTATGACTGTAATTCAGGGCTTAATTAAAATCTTAGGTTGAGGACTACCTGTAGTTATAATGTGATTTTCTCCACTCTCCACTATTAATTGCATAATAAATAAGAAGCTGTATCTAATTGTCTCTATTCATCACGACTGATCTAGACAGAAGTAAATGTAAAGCTTGCATATTAGATGTGAATTCTGAGAATTCAGGCACATAGAGCACAACTGAAAGCAATGCTAAAAACCCACAATGTCCTTGACTTATGCCCAGTCGCTTAGCGACAATTCAAAGTTATGATGGACTTTCTCCGGACTACTTAATGACCTGAATTTGAAGTTTTGGTGGCCAGTCATTCCCCCCACAGTCATGAGATCACATTTTGGGTGCTTGGCAACTGGCACACATTTGCAACAGTTTGAAGCATCCTGAGGTTACATGATGCAATGTATATTTTTTTGCTGAAACAAGAGTTTAGTTCCAGTTTCCAGCAAAAAAATGCCCATTGTGGACAATAGGTTTACTTAATTACCTATTGGTCTCCAGTCACAATTCAAGGTGTTGGTTATTACCTTTAAAGCTCTACATGGCTCAGGGCCAGGTTATCTTCGAGACCGCCTTCTGCCGCATAGCTCCCAGCGACCGGTAAGATCCCACAGAGTTGGTCTCCTCCAGGTCCCGTCAGCTAAACAATGCTGGCTGGCGGGCCCGCGGGGGAGGGCCTTCTCTGTGGCTGCCCCAGCTCTCTGGAACCAGTTACATCCTGAGGTCTGGACTGCCCCCACCCTAGTGGCCTTCTGAAAAGCGGTGAAGACCTGGTTTTTCCGGCAGGCCTGGGGCCGTTGATCGCTCTTGTGATCTGGCAAGATCTGGCCATGAATGACGTGAATGAGTTTTTAATGTTTTTAATGTTTTTAATTTTTCAATGTTTTTTTATAATTATTTTTTAAAATGTATTGTGAACCGCCCTGAGTCTTTGGAGAGGGGCGGTATATAAATTTAATTAATTAAATTAAATTAAATTAATGATTGCAGTGTTCACTTAACCACTGCAAAACACATTTTAATATTTGATGTTCCGCTTTAACAACTGGCATGACTTATGACCAGAATGCGATTCAAATATTCTATCTCCAATAGATGGGGATTCAGCCTGCTTGAAAACCTTTATTGCATTTTTAAAAAAAGCATCTAAGAATTTCAGATATATCCATTTCATTCATTTGTAGCTTTCACAGCATTAGTAGAAAAGATTCCCCCTCTCCCACATATTCCCATATCTTATTGAGAGTGGTGAGAAACCTCCAAAAGTCTGAGGAAGGAATGTGAGGAAGATGTCCCAGAGCATAAATAAATATCTAGAGTACTTGTATTGTTTCCTTTTATTTTGATAAAACATGCATGTGAATTTTCTGTATTTTGAACTGCAGGTATTGGTGCTGGGTAAACTGGTTCAAGGAGCTAACATCACAATGATGATTTCATCAATTTTTAGTATATTTATTGTGCTGGTGATTGTGTATGTCAGCTGCCGAAGTCTTCCATGTTGTTCCTGCTATGACAGTATCACTGGACTTGTAAGTAGCAACATCATTAAGGAGGGTGTGCTCAGTCATGAATGCATCACACTGTAGCACCATTCAAATTAAACAACCATAGATTTCAATCAGTCCTTAGATGGAGAAAGCTTGTATCTCCTATAAATTATTGTGATCTTTCCAAACAATGGACAATACATATATAAAAAGAGATTTATTTTTCCTCTGCGTATGCAAGATACATTTTTCACGGACTACTTGTGTTTAGAAAAAAAATAACTACAGTTCTGATTTTAAGGTTTGTTGATTAAAAAGGCCTAATTCAGTTCCAAGGATGCCCTTTTATGGGATATATTGCAGTTTCCTGTAAATAGAAGCTTGTGTACAGATTCGAACAATATTCCTTATTGTTTCATTGTGCATTCCTTTTCTGGAAGGAATTCTTTTGCACAGCTTGTTATCAGGTTTTTCACAAGAAGGGTTTACAAAAATACTCTGATTAATCATGTCAGTATGCCATCTGTAAATTAATTAAATATGATGCGAAATATGATATATATTTATTTGCTCACATATCACAGAGTCACGGAGAAACTTTGTGTGGTGTCCAATTAAACATAAAACCCACATAAATATTGTTATTTATAAATATATACAGGAATAAATACATTTAAAAGGTGGGAGAGATCCTTCAAGATGCTAACTGACCTCAAGCTTGCATGTTTTTCTGCAATCCCCAGGTGAGTTGGCAGAGCTAGGGCTAATCCTAGATGAAATTGGATTTGGATATTTATATATATGCAATATCACTATTTAATTTTAGGATTGTGTACAATTGCACAATGGCATAACCAAATACATACATTTAAAATACCTGAGCAAATAACATTTTGCCCTGAAAAGCTTCTAAGCAGATTCTATCTTATATTCCAAAACTGACAGGCTACCCTGAACATTTCTTCTCTTTGTCTAATTTTATTAGGCCTCATGTTTAAGATCTTTAAAGATTAGCAACAGCTTGTATATGATTCCCATGTTGTTATTTTATTTTGAATCATAGTTTTCTTACAGGATATTGTTCAACTACTTTTTTATTAAGTGAAGTGTGCAATACAATAATTTATGGCTAAATTCTGATATCAGTTTGATCCATATGCAAGCCTGTTTTAATATTTTCACATTCTCATTCTTAGGAGCATCTAAAAAATAATGAAGACCAGTTACAAACTACAGAATTAGTCTGCCTTTCACGTGGTATGTAGGGTCGTCTTCTTTTTAGAACGTCAGTGTTAAATTATATTAAAATTGCAAGAAATGTTTGGCTTTGCCATATGTGACGGATTTATTATATTCTACCATTATAGATCAAGAGGACAGAATTTTTAATTGTCCAGTAAGACTTCCCCAACCGAACACAGAAACAGATTATGAAATAAGTGACCCTCCTCCATACATCAGGCTGACTTAGAAACAAATTCTACAAGGATTTCATGAACAGACCCTTTATAATTTTTTAAAAAGTATGAAATGCGTACAATTATTAAAGAAATTGAAAAAGACTCTCTTCAACAGATCCTGAAAATATATGAATTTACTTATGTACAAAAATATTTTATTACAAAAGTGAATAAAAATTGTATTTAAATTTCTTGAGTTAGAAACACTGAAACTCTGAAGATGCCTTCCCAAAAAGATTTCTTTTCTGTAGTGAAAATTGGCTGCATCATTGGAAAGCAGATTCTATGGCAAGCTTCATTTCTTTTTCAGCAGAGAGCTTACAAAAAGCTCTCCATTTAACAACTCTGGTATGGAAAACCTAGACTGATGTTTCCCAATTTTATCATTGCTAAGATTTTGGGTGCTAAAATCCACAAATCTCAGCTGTCTAGGTTGGAAAACGTTGAGCTATGGAGCAGAAAAGTGTCCCCTCCCCATTAGAGGCCCCCAATGTCAAGAAGCAAAGAATCATTCTGGAAGTCATTATCTGGCAATGCTGGAGGCAGTTCCTGGGAATGAGGCTTTTGTGGGAATTTCAGATGGAAGAGGGCTTGTTAGAGGCAAATTCTGCAAGAGGCAGCCATTTGGTTTACAGCTGGTCCATGGGTTATGAATGATGGTAATTGGCAATAAATTATGTGAAGTGAAACATTACATGATCGCATTGTTTAGCGATAGCAATACAGTCTCATTGCCATTGTTAATCCAATTTCCTGATCCAAGCCATTCTTGGTTTCATTGTTTCCTGTCCTGAGTCTTGACAAAGGGCTGCCTTCTTTTTGGACTCCTACCATGAACCTATCTCCCCTGCCCTTCCATTTTTGCCCTTTTGACTACCCTGAGCACATTGGCACTCTTTGGTGGCAGTGGCAGCAGTGATGGCACTGGAGCTGAAGCAGAGTCCTGGGGTCTTCAGTCTCAGTCGCCTGCTGCTGTCCTCAGACATCTTCTTCAGCCCCAGTGCTGCCACCACTGCTGAGGAAGGCTTCTGTACAGAGTGACCAAAAAGAGATTGGAGAGGGGGAGGTAGACGAGTGGGAGGAGTTCAAGAGGGTGGGGAGAGTTGAAGACCCCTGCTGTTATAAGCGCTGGCGGGCTACCAAGTGACTGAATTTTGATCACATGACCACAGGGCCATCACAATGGCTGTGACTTTAGGGACCAGGCGTAAGTACCTCCATAACTTTGTAACTTATGTTTGTCCTGCAAATACAATCACAGCAAAATAATGTTCAAATAATTCATCTTCTCCAATTGCCCATTACATTCCAGATGAAGAAAAATGAATATAAATTCTCAGTAGAAACGATGCTTCCAAAAATTGGATGTAAATTCAGAGTCACAACCCAAGATTTTCTGACTAGTTTGTATATAAACAGGGGGTCCAGAACATGCTGTGCAATCTCCCGAGTGTCGCAGCCTCTTGCAAGAAACAAATGAATCTTCTTGGTAAAGACATCCATGATACCCAAATGATTGAATATCTTTGAAATATAATGTGATGACATAAAATCCAGAGAAATTGTCCTAGCCTCTCAACAGACCCGACAGATGAAAAGTACTTGACACTTGCTCTTGGCCCCAACTCTTTAAGCACAACAGGTGTTCTGAATAGTCTCCCATGCCCAGCAGTTTTCTTTTCAGAGCAAAGTAGTAGCATTTCTTCTCTGAAAAAACATGTAAACAACTCTTGTGAAATAAGTGTCCTTGAGTTGAGAGAAAGTATAAGACCTGACATATGACAAGCGAATCTTACGTACTGCCTGCCTCTCCTAGCTTTTCTGGAATATCCCTTCTCAGGGGAGTTGGGGGTTTAAGATTGTTATATTTTAAGATCATAGCAGGGAAAGAGGGCCAGGCTCTCATAACATTGCATCAGACAGAGGAACTGGATATTAGACTTTTGCTTGTCACTCTGGCAGCACAAGAGCAGGTGAAGCAAGAAATCCATGCTGACTGCTACCAGCCAGCCAATGTGTATAAAAACAAGCCATCCAAATATTTTAAAAACATTTTGGAGTATTTGTTTTTGAAAAAAATCCTCACGGGATAGAACTTTCTTTCCAGGGTTCGCAGCAGTGAGATATTTTTAATTGCTTCTTGAGGCACTTAGCTGAGACAGAGAAATCAAAGTGACTACTCTCCAATTCTTTTCATTAGTGCCTCCTTAGAAGTTCAAACAGGCACTGACCTCTTATCCCAGAAACAGGAAATCAAGTCTTCAGAAAGAACAAGAAAAACCTACTCAGCCAGTACAAATTAGGCTCTTCACTACGAAGACTTTTTCTGTTGTTATAGTTCAGTGATGGTGAACCCTTTAGGCACAGAGTGCCCAAACTAGAAGGCGTGTACATGCATGTGCCAGAGCACCAGAAATCCGATGACCAGCTGGCCAGTGTGCATGTGCGCGTCAGAAACCCGACAACCAGCTGGCTGAGCTGGGGCAATGGCGCGTGTGCCCACAGAGAGGGCTCTATATGCCACCTCTGGCATACATGCGATAGGTTCGCCATCATGGTTATAGTTTATGAAGCATTGTTAACATTACTGCACAGAGTAAAAAATAGGGGAAAAAATAAACAAAATCCCTTGCTCGACAATCAGCATAGCAAACATATTCTGAAAAGCTTATAGCAGGCAAAGAAACGTTACATAACATACATATGTATGCACACATGTGCACACACAGCTTGAAACAGCAAAGCATACATGTTCAGCTGCATAAGAGGATGGGTAACTCACTAACATACAAAGCAACATAGTCTTCAATTATTTAACCTGTATGCTGAAAATTCAATCAAAATCGAATGAGGGGTTGCAGAGTGCCTCCAAGCCTTAATCATCCCACCAACTTCAGTGCTTCCATTCCACAGCATGTGCTGTAAGAGCCACCACATAGTTGATTGGACAGTTATTTGGTGTGCCAGGTATTTCTTTTTAGCCTATGTGGTTTTTGCAATTTATCATGTGGCCATTCCCCATCTACAAGTTGCACAGGTCTGGTCCAAACATGAGGCAGAGATGTAATTGATGGCTGCTGCTTTATACCGATTACACTGGAAAGTCTGATTTTTTTAAAAAAGCAACCCAGTTGCAAGCTTTTTGAAACAGCTAAATTTTGTTCCAAACTCAAAACAAAGTTCCCCCCCTCAAAAAAAATTATCATTCATAGAAAGATCAGACAGTCACTTCAAAAATGGAAGGTTCAAGATAATCTCTAATGCAGGTGGTCCTCAATTTACAAGTTCATTTAATGATTGTTTGAAATTACATCACTGAAAAAAGTGACATTACTATTTTTCATTTAAGACCATTGCAGCATCCCCACCGTCATGTGATTTACCGTACATTCAGATGCAGAACAGGTTCATATTTATGATGGTTGCAGTGTCCCATGGTCATGTGATCATCTTTTATGACCTTCTGAGAAGCAAAGTCAATGGGGAAGCCAGATTCACTTAACAACCATGTTACTAATTTAATAACTGGAGTGATTCACTTAAGAAATGTGTCAAGAAGAGTTGTAAAATGGGACAAAACTCACTTGACAAATTTCTCGCTTAGCAACATAACTTCTGGGCTCAATTGTGGTCGTAAGTCGAGGACTATCTGTATTCACTAGTAGTGTAACAAACTCAGCTTATTTGGAATCAAACATTGTGAAAACAGACTACAGAAAAGAAACTTTATTTGGTAGCATTTATTCATTTAAAATGCTCTACTAGTTTGACAGATGACGATCCTTCATTTGAAGGGGAAGGTAAAGCAAATTATATTAGAGAAAAATAAACTAAAAATCACTTTGCATTAAAAATAGTTATCTGTATGGTAATCCTATAAAAATAAATTGTGCTGAAACAATGTTATAAAGCTGAACTGTATCAATATTACGATACTGTTATTTATATTAGTTCAAAGGTTTTTACTAATAAGAAATAATGAAGCTCTTACATCATTAGTGAATCTTCTACACTTTTTAAAAACATGGATTATGCATATGAAGTAAGCAAGTAAATTCTTGAAAGTGTAATCTCATTTGAAAACTATTTTAAGAACATTTCATTAAATAAAGCTCTTAAAAAGATTATTCATGGACAGTATGTAAATAAAAATTATAATTAAGGCTTAAAGTGATTATTACAAAAATCCCTTATTTCAAGCATAAACAGCCTTCCATATTTGCTATGCAAATAAACAATACACAAATGACTGGGGAAAAAATCTAAACATTCTGAACACAATCCATTTACACATTTGGCCAATCATGCAAATGTACTGCATTCTCTGTATTTTATTCTGTTTTAAGGTGCAATTAACATATTTTTAATCTAAAATGTTACAATCTTATACAACAGTATATTAACTTGCAATAGAATACATATAATTTGACATTTACTTAATAGTATAACTATATTTAAATTTTGCAGTTACCGTAATGAATACGAAAAACACTTCTAAGAATGTTCATTTTTGAGGAACACACATTACAAGTTAGTGATAATTAGGCCATTGTTCTTCTAAGCATTAATAAATAATACCGATACCATTTTCTTTTATTAAAATCCCTTAGTCTCATGGCTTATGCTCCCAAAACATTAATCTAACCCAAAATTGAACACACAGGACAAACAGAACATCAGTTCTATTAAGTTTAAATATAATACCCATTAAACATATTGAATGGACAGGAATAAATCCCTACACAATTCACTTACAGATGGACCAATTAATAAAACATAATCGTAACTAATTAATCAACAACATTTTGTTTAAAAGAATAGCTCCTCTCCTTGGGCCAAATTTCTAATGCTGTACATGTTAACAGTTCAGATAATAAGCACTACTCCAATTATTATTAGCTTTGGTTTTCCTTTTGAATTAAAGAAAAGTACAAATGCATAATGATGTATAAATGGTTTTTTGTTTTCCTAAGAGTCAAGCACAGTGTGTTAGTGAGGTATCATAAACAACAATGAAATTCAATCATATATTCCTACAAAGGGCAGCAGTGTCTAGTATAGTCGTTGAGATGAGTTGGACCTTTCATTTGCACGTGTCCTGCACAAGCCTACTGAATGTCTAGGAACAGCAAGAAACTGTCTGGGCATTGTTGGATTTCAACCAAGAGAATGTCTTTTTCCTAGAACTGTTTTGTGACTGTACAAAAATATACATAAATAAATCTAACTAACCAATAAAAACTTATACAAATGACTACTTTAACAGAAAGTTGTCGATATCTACTTATGACCTATATAAAAATCTAAAGCTCTGCTTAAGCAATGAGCTGAAAGTATGCACCATGATCTCTGCCTGCCAAAAAAAAAAAAATCTTTAAAGTTGTGCAACTTATGCAATGATCATCAGAATGCCTGCTCATGTCTTCAATATTTGCTAGGAGTGTTTATGTGCAAAATCATTGAAACCCCTTAAAACAATGTCATAAAAGTTTTAAGAGCCCTTTCAGCAATTTCTGAGCACCAATTTTACATAAACTCCCCCCCCATTTTATGCTGTCTCTTCCATATTTTAATTGTTAAATTATATAACCAGCAGTATCTTTGTATGATGTTGATATTTCAACTATTTTAAAACAAATGGAAACCAGACAATATTGGCTAGCACTTATTTATGATTCATTCAATGTGCTATGGATTCTGCAGTGTTAAATCCTTTAATTTTGAAGTTTTTTATCTTCAAATCAAGGCTCATGTTTTGGCTTGTTAGGAGGATGGATGCACATAATATGTCTACCACTAATACTGCAAAAAGTTTGTAATACAAAGTCAATTAAATAGAGAAAAGATAGTATTTTAAGGCTTTTTCAAAGTGTGGATTGCTTACTTTTTACTTCATTCTTCTAGCTTCCAGTTTTGCTCCACAGAAGGTTTGGGGAGGAAAAAGGCAAAAGGCCAGTGAAGCAAAGTTGAGTGATCTAATTAAAACCTTTGTTGCACCTAGTGGAATCCCTACTAGTAGCTGTGCCTCTAGTCTAGAGCAATGTAACCAACTTACAAGAAAAATAAGTTGCAATTTCCAGTATTATTTCCAATAATATGCAGGAGATTCACATTCTTTTCCTCTTACCTTGAAAAATGTAAGTTATGTGGAACACTATGAAAATAAACATCATTTGTTCACACACGCACTCAGAAAGTTTTCAGAATATTCAACAAAAGCAATACAACCAGAAATTAAAATAGAAAAAAGTCAGTGTACATAATTTATTTTTAAAATTAATGAACTTAATTAATGAAAAATTTAAATGGAAAGAAATTAAGGGCAAAATTTTTGAATACTTTATTCATATTGAGCCTTTCTTCCATTTTATTTTCATAAAACTGTGTACCAAATAACTAGGATTATAATTTTAAACTGATTTTTGGGCCTCCTTAGAAAAATAGTATTCTTACACTGAACAATAAAGGCAAAGAGTTGACTTAATACATTTTTAAAATATCCACACTGTATTGGAGAAAAGCTCTCAAAACTGAGACCAAGTTTTCTGTAAAACAATATATTTGCAGATTAAAAAATTCCCTAAAACAAAAATAATTCCCTAAACATTATCATTATTTAGATGCTACAGCTTACCAAGTGCACATACTAAACTTCTACATATAAAACGACTGAATAAAGTGCACAGCAGAAGATAATTCTTATTAAATCAAAACATTGCACATTCTTAAAGCACTGGCAAAGAGAATACAATGTTGAATCCAAATGTACTGTAAGTTAACACCAACATGTCATAGTAGGTTTTGATGCTGGTTTCAAGTGAATTGTATTATCTGGTAACTGACTAAGCATGAGTGGTTTGTGGCTCTTTAGCTTATGAGCCAATGTCATAAATATGGCTTCCACATGATCATTGTCATTTGGGTTTTTAGCAGAAGTTTCAAACAGTGGCATACCATGAGTGTCAGCAAATTTCTGAGCCACGTCTGTAGGCACCTGAATTGCATTCCTTAGATCGCATTTGTTTCCAACCAAAATCCGGGGTATTTCATTGGTGAGCAAGTGTTGCTTGCACTCTTCAATCCACAGTGGCATACTGTGAAAGCTAGCAATGTTTGTCATATCATATACAAACACAACTGCATGTACGTTCCTATAATAATGCTGCACCATGCTCTTCCTAAAACGTTCTTGTCCTGCTGTATCCCAGAGCTGGATCTAGAGGTGGGAAATGAAGAAACGTGAATAAGAATAAGACCATACATACATACATACTTATCAATTAATCAATGCAAACTTCAAATGGATAAGTGATGATAGCATATTTACAGTACCTGCCTAAATAAAAACATATTTTCAATATAATTTCTATTACCGTTGTATGTTTTTAATATTTTCTAAAGATCTTGAATGATGAAATTGTCTGGAATTCTGGTAAGGGGCTTTGCAGAGCATCTCTGGCAGAGGAAACTCTAGCATCCCAACTTAAGGCAGACACATTGAATGGGTAGGATTTAATTATAATATGTGTTCCTGCAACAAGCAGGATACAAAACCAGATTAAATTAGCATTCTGAATTGTAGAAGTCTTAACTGTAGCCAATGCAGAGCCTGCAATGCTGGGTTTACATTAGAATCTCAAGTTCTTCCTGCCAACAAATAACCTGCTGTATTATTTGGACTGTTGTTTGGAAACTCAAAAAAAAAAAAAAAAAGAAAAAGAAAAAAAAAAAGAAAGAGGAAACTCCATTAGAGCACACTGCAGTGATCTTACCAGGAACTGGCAAGGCCACTGTTGTTAGAATTTATAAATTTTATGAGCCAGGGTCATGTTTGTGAGATAATTAACTGTATAAATGAAATAAAAACAAATAATGCATAATAGTAAATTTTAAAAATTGGAAGTTGCTGATCTATTAATACCTTTGACTGAATTTGTAATTGCAAAACGTTGTCTTTTTGTCAAGAAACGATTTTCTTAGGTTGTCCTTATAAATCCCCTTTTATCTAGTAATTCAACCCACTGCTGCTGGGCGTTCTTGGGGCAAATACATTGCTGGGCGATGGAACAGGGGTGCCACGTTTAAGGCACCATCGGCCGAGAACCACCGCATTAGGCAATTTTGCCTCTGTCATTGCCCAAGGGGGGGGGGAAGGGTCTCCCGGCCCACCGTAACTTTTCCCGCCCCGACTTTCATCCGGCCTAGCGAGCCCAGAGGAGGGCGAGGGAAAGAAGGGGCCGGAGTCCACCTGGAGAGAACCAGAAGCGGCCGCAGGTTTTGCTCACCTTGATTCTCTCGTCGTCGATGTCGACGGCTCGCTCGCGGAAGTCTACCCCGATAGTGGCTTCGGTGCGCTCGGGAAAGCGCCCCGCGCAGAAGCGGTAGGTGAGGCACGTTTTCCCCACGTTGGAGTCTCCGATCACGATGATCTTGAAAATGCGGGAACGCGCGGGCGGCAAAGACCCGGGCCCCGCGTAGCTGCTCGACAGACTCAGCTCCAGAGACGACTCCACGTCGGCCGCCATCGGACGCCGCTGCCTCCTCCTCTTCCTCCCTCTGCGAGGCCCTCAGGCCCGCCCAGCAGAGGGGGGAAAGCGGGCGGCGAAAGGAACTCGGCCCGTGGCTCAAAAGCTTTCCTCAGCGCCAAGCGCCTGGCGCGATTGCCGCCACCGGCATCCACAGAGCCACTCAGGGGCGGGGCGACGAGGGATGGGCGGGGCAAGGCCGCGACGCTCCAGGCTTCCCTCCTCCTGATAGGAAAAGCGGGCGCGACTTGGCTGAAGATACCGCGAGAGTGGGAGGACGGGCCGAAGTTGTGGGGTGGGGGTGGGGGAGAGACATCTTTCGTCAGGAAGGTGGGGGCGTTTCGGGGGCAAATCCCTGGCGGTGAGACGCAGGTTGTAGAGAGATTTGGCTCCCTTTCCCCATCTGGTGCTGGAGAGCAGGAGTTCCCAACCTTTCCGGGTCATGGAAGGTTTAAAAAAAAAAAGGAAACAATTCTGTCAGCTGCAGGCAAGCGCGCATGTCTCTTGCCACTGGCGCAAATGGAGCTGCGCGTGCAAGCAAGCGCGGCTGCTGCGTTTGCGGCCCGGTTTCAAGCCCACCCCATGGGGTGTTGGGCAACCCCTCCTGTAGAGCAACACTACTGTAGTAAACGCTTGCCTTGAATTTGGGGAAGCAATAAACGGGTGCAAGGAAATAAATCTGTTGGGAGACTTTGGGGGCTGACATTTAAGTGATCTTGGAGAGGGGCACTTTTTTTTTAGTACGGAGTGCTTCATAGTGGTTACATCTAGCCTCGAATATCAGCTGTCAGCCGGCAAGGTCTTTCAAAACACTCTGGCTGAAATCCTAACCAACACTTTAAGGTTAGGCAACGTTTCGACAAGCTCTCTACCTTGTCATCTTCGGGCCTTTATTATCAGTTTAGAAGCTGTGGGTCATGCTTCATACTAGCTGCAGCCTGAATATGTGTTAACGGTCCAGTTTTCTCTGGCTCCCTATTACCAACTGTCAACTGCAGCTAGTATGAAGCATGACCCACAGCTTCTAAACTGATAATAAAGGCCCGAAGATGACAAGGTAGAGAGCTTGTCGAAACGTTGCCTAACCTTAAAGTGTTGGTTAGGATTTCAGCCAAAGTTTTTTGAAAGACCTTAAAAAGGTTTTTGTTTGGGAATTTAGAGGATTCTGAGCTGTGATCTTAGCCAGGATTTTAAACATTTTAACTAACAAACTTATGACACGGGAAAACACCCGAGATTTTAACTTTTTACATACACACATCCGCGAAAACTTAAGAAGACAGATTATCTATCTATCTATCTATCTATCTATCTATCTATCTATCTATCTATCACATTATAGAGGACCACAATCGGCCTCTATAATGATAAATTAGTCCTTGCATTTTTTCCTCTCATTCCATTTGTTTCATTGCAGAAAGAGCAAAAACAAGATTCCTCCTTCCAATTATAATATGCAACTTTAACATGAAATAGTAAATCTTGTAAGTAATTTTCCTTTAAATTAAGCTTAATTCCTGGCAACTTAAATGTTTCTTGGCAACAAGGTAGTCCTTCTGGGACACTCCTCTGAATACCGAATTTACCATACTTTACAGTGATTTCCTGATGGGCTTTATTGGTGTAGTGACCACAACTCTGACCCAGCTTGAGATCTTCCAAGTTTGGATAGGTACTACCACCTGGATGGACAGGAAGCCTTTTCATTATTCAAAGCTTAAGTCTTAATCTTTTCATTATGATTTGCACAATGGCAATATTTGTATTTATCAGAGCTGTAGTGCAAGAATCTAAAACTTTAGAAAAGGATTTTATATTTGAGCACTAGAACCTTCCACTACACTTTATATTCATCCATGAAAAAAGTTAACTTTAAACTAGGGTTTATTTTCCCTATGAAGATGACTACATATATCAGCATTATCAAGAATGGAATTTTCCCTCTATATACCTTATTTACCTAATGAGATATATCTTATTTATCTGATAACCTTCTATCCCTGCTTCCCAGGAATATAAATAGTTATATGAGATGTTCATCTCATTTGAAATTACTTTGGGAAATCTAATTTCAAAAAACGGTACTACTAATATTCAGTATTTGTTTCTGCAAAATGGGAGGAAACACAACATATTTTTTGTACCTCTTTCTGTAGTTTTATAAAAAACGTTATGACGCTTTAAGGACCCTTTTTCCTTTTTACAAATTTAAGACAATATTGAGGACAGTTTAAAACTTACTGGCAAATTTGTCTGTCTTGATGAAATTGTAGGCTGTAAAAAGCCTGGGCTTTAATATACCCTTTATTGTAAGTATAAAGAAAATGACAGCTTGGAAAGAGTTGCTACAGAATTTCTGATATCTGATCATTTTAAATTATCAACTATCATTGGAGGAAGAAAGAGGGTTCAAATTAACCCTCATGTAAAACCTTAGCCTTTGTCAGTATGGTTTTTAGCTAAAAATGCAGAATGATTGCAGTGTAGTTTCATGGCTACCAGCAGTATTTGTTACTGTGCATTAACAGTCAGAAACAAATTTGTATCACCAACCAATCATAATAAAGTTACGAAGATTTTTGAACTGAGAGGCTTTACCCTTTCTCATTTTGTATTAATATAATTAATACAGTATCTTTGGGTTAATCACAGGAAATATTTTCTCAGATATATTGGGCCCATGAAATGAGGGAGAGATTAACCACAGGGTCCACAGTTTTGTTAGATGCACGTATATCAAAAGATGAAGGTTCTAGACGAATGATCAGTCAATACTTTTAAATTGTTCTTATCACAGAAAGAGTAATGATATCTCTAAAGAGATGTACAACAATGAAAATCACAAAGTGTTAGTTGTTTTGATTTTTTTCATACTGGCATTTGTTTTTAGCATTTTCTACACTGTACTTTCAATTTCTGATTGCAAATTTTCTAATTCATATAAATTCGCATTATCTTTGTGGGGATATATTTCACAGAGGTATTTACTAATTTGAGCACCCATGATTGCCAAATTGCAAATCATTATTCACAGTGGCAGTCATTATGGTTAGCTTTATTGAAGGAGAGGGGGGACGGGGGAGTAGTGTCTCCAAACACTGTCGCATTATGCATTGTGGGATTTCACCAACACTAATATAAATCTTTTATGATGTTACGCTGAACTTGCACTACATCTCCTGACAGCAGTTTTCAAATTCTATAGTCACACAACTCTTTTTCAAAACATTTTATTGCATTATATTTGGTACCTTATGTTTGACAAAGGAAATTACATCTGTAACTGCAGGGATAAGAAGCTGGTCTGTTATTGAAAAAAAATCTTGGGCCCCTTAAAAGTTACAAAGTCATGGGCTTGCCTGAAATAACTGAGCAAGAAATATATTCTTAGAAATGTAGGGCTTCAAGTATTACAAACCTGTGACACTGTGGAAAAGTTTCAGAGGTATCTAAACTGCAGCACTTTTTTTTCCTGCATAACGTGAACAAGGCCTGCTGAGGTTTTAAACAATTAGTCTCTCAATCAGTCAAATTCATAGTCAGGAGTTCATCTCTTAAAAATTTCAATCCATAGTTGAATGAATATCATTTATATTTTCACTGTACGTGAAAACTACATGCTGTCTTTCTAATGAGTTGGTGCCACATCACAGTGCATAATTCATTTGTTCTTGCATTACAGTTTTTTTAAAAAAATTAGCCAACATTGTTGTCATTCACATCTCCTAAACATCAATTATTTTTTTTTCAAAACTGAATTAAAAAAAATATATTCTAACCAGTTCCTTCATTTAAAAACTGTGGTGCAAGAACACCAAACTGATCACGTGCAGTGAATTTCGGAGACACAACAAGCTTTCTGAACACCTTATGTTTCGTTATTTTGCTTCATATTTTAAGTCCCAGTCTCTACAACAACATTAAATATGTGTTGCAGGTTTGTTTGCAAATAGTGATTCACATTGCATACTTCCAAAGGGTAGAATCATCTCTGTATCAAAATCAGTCAGATGCTAAAGCCCCAACAACTTTTTGTGCTCAGTGAAAAGGATCCAGTGCTAAAACAGCATTTTTTGCTGTCTGAGATACTTATCTCAACAAGACAAATTTAAAGTAATATTTCTGCCACACACCTGCTCCAATGGGGTGTTAAGCCTTCAGATTCCATATAAATTAGTTTAAAAACCGGGTATGTAGATAAGGGATACTTTTCAATTTTAGCAGTGCTTAGCTTTTCTTTAATTTTCTTTAATTGAGCCATCTATTTCCAGCAATACGTTACTTTATATTATATACTTCGTCAGCAGGATAAAAAAAAGTAAAACTTTGAAGGCAACTTTTTTTCTCCTTCCATTCTCTGTAAGTTAGAACAATTCAGCAGGTGCGTGACAAAAATATTATACACCAGATACAGTCCAAAATCATTCCACTCCTTTTAAAGTTCATATTTCATTGGCCAATTCTTCAGTTTCTGCAGATATGTCTCCATTAACTGTGATCTTCATATCTTCTTCATATCCAGGGGGCATAAAAGCCAAAGCATATGGGAAAAGCTTATGACAATTTGCTCTGTACACTTCAGCTGCCTCTTTACAGTCTCCAAGGCTACTGTCATTCAATGCTTCCAATACCTCCATGCATGTCTAAAAGAAAAAAAATGTGTTTTAAAAGATCCTGTATTTTAACAATTGATACAATTCTGTTAAGATGTTTGTGTATATTGCTATATGTAAGGCTTAAACATTCTGTTCCTTAGAAAATTACTAAATGTTAGTAGTATAGTTTGCTGGCCTATTTTGTTTGAAATTTGAAAAGGCTGCCTGATAGGAAGACAATATATAAGTTTTTATATCAAATTTACCTGAAGATTTCTGTCTGCTAGAGATTCATCAAGTGAAGTTGCCAGTTCCACAGCTCTTTTCTGGCTTGTAGAATCCAAATAGTATACCATTTTGGCAGCTAAAAACAGAAACAAAAATGCTCGTCCAGACACATTTAGATAATATTAAACATTTACTTTTATATTTGGGCCTCCTCTATCTATGTTTTCACCAACTATAGGCTCTAAGCACATAGATCAGTTCATAATACCAATCTGTTTAAGATCAACAGAGGAATTACAAAACTCGATAATACACAAGAAAAGAAGTGTCGACTAATTTTTCCCTTCGCCCCTATTTATAAAGGTTAGATGTAGAAAACAATGTCATTTTCTGGGAATAGAAGAGCTTTAATTCATTGCAGCTCCCATTGTTAGAGCTGAGGCAGACAGTGTTTGTTCAATTACCACCTCCATGTTTTTCAGGAGATCCTGCAACCTTCCAGAGCAGATTTGGAGTGCAGGTTCTGCGGCATTAAGGAAAAATGGATGAGGAATGACACTCCCTTTTGCAAGCAAAAATATCCAATGAGTTCAGTGAAAGTACTTTGGGGTAAAACCCAATACTCACCTTTTCATATAATGCATATATCATTGTGATAATTACAAATCAGAATATACCTATTATATTCTTGAGTACCCAAATTCTGTCAAGAGTTTGCAATAAATACATAAAAAGACTAGGGTATTTTTTCTTGGCTGTCATATATATTTTATACTGTACTATTACTATTTTTAATTGTTTCATGATTGTTCGTTGCCAAGATTTCCTTGTTTGAGTTGAGTGTCTATAGAAATTGAATAAATCAATAAAAAATTAAAACAAATTTATATTTAATTAAATGCCTAATCAAAAATGCATTTTATGGCCTATTTTGAGAGGGCAATACAGGTAGTCTTCAATGACCTTAATAGTGATCACAGCCTTGGTCGTTCAGCAAAGTGGTCATAATACAAGACACCTAGCTGACCACTTCATTCAACAACTGCAATGCCAGCACTCCCTGTTGTAGCTGCTGAAATCCAAGTGGACACAAAGTTTGAAGTCCTTCTCTCCCTGTTTCTGTGAGGCTCTCTGGATCTGTGTATGTTTGGATTTCAGCTGCTGAGGGCCAGGCATGCACAGTCCTAAATCCTTCTTTCCCCACCGCTATGTAGAACTTTGCACAGACAGGTGAAGAGTAATTTTAAAAGCTCCATGCTGCAGGCAGTCATCAACTTACAACAGTTTGTTTAGTGACCTTTCAAAGTTACAACATCACTGAAAAAAGTGACTTATGACAATTTTCCACACTTGCAACCATTATAGCATCCCCATGGTCATGTGATTAAAATTCAAATGCTTGGCAACTGACTCATGTTTATGGTGGCTGCAGTGTCTTGGGGTCAGTATCTGGGGGTCATTAACCAATTTTGTTGACTACATGATGTACAATGACAGTAAAGGCTATACTTATGTGATCCCCTTTTGTAACCTGACAAGCAAAGTCAATGGGGAAACCAGATTCACTTAAGAACTGAGCTACTAATTTAACACATGCAGTGATTCACTTAACTGTGACAAGGTCATAAAGTGGGCAAAACTCACTTAACAAACATCTCACTTATTAACAAAAATTTTGGGCTCAATTGTGGTTGTAAGTTGAGGGCTAACTTTATTTGGATATGAGCAGCCAGGATCCAGATATGCACAGAATCCTTCTCATCTTTGATAAAGGGATTTAGAGCTTAAATTTTGGTAGCCAGGATCCAGACATATAAGCAGTTTAAGGTCTATCTCTCCCTCCCCGTTTCCACCACCACCACCAATGGAGAGCTCTGCAGAGGCAGGGAGTGAAGGTTTTTAAGCTCTGTGCCTGTTTAGATTTCAGCTGTGGAGATCCAAGCAGGTGTGGATTAGCAGTCAGTTCTTTCACAGGTCAGAAGAAATCCTCTTGGCAGGCGGTGGCAGCTTGTAATCCCTGCTGGTTTCCCCAATGTTTTGGGGAGGTTGGCAGAGAAGATTGCAAATGGTGATTGTGTAATCATGGGGCACTTGTCATGAGTGTAAACAGGTTGCCAAGCACTCATATTGCAATCACATGACTGTTAGGGTGGGATTGTATAGTTGCATGTGTAACACATACAGTATGGCAGGAACAGCAGCAAATCAATGTCCCATTCCTTTGTATATGCGTGACTTTCTACATTGACTATTACTGCTATCTTATCTCAAAATCTGGAAAAGGGTTCAATGCACATGGAAAATCTGATTTTTGCAAGGATACAAAGAATAGTTCTTTGCTTTGATGAAAAGAATAAAGTCATCCTTGTAGTAAGAATCTCTCTCTTGTGGTAAATTAAATCACCTTAGAAGCCAATGTAAGCATCTACTTAAAAAATAGTCAGTCACTTTGTACTCTATCAGAAATGTAAATTGATACAGAAATCAGTATTATTTATAACATGACTGTAAAACAATTCCCGAATTATTATTAGCGCTATATAGCTGGGAGAACAAAGCATAAAGGTAAAGGTTCCCCCCGCACATATGTGCTAGTCGTTCCTGACTCTAGGGGGTGGTGCTCATCTCTGTTTCAAAGCTGAAAAGACAGTGTTGTCTGAAGACATCTCTGTGGTCATGTGGCTGGTATGACTAAACGCCAAAGGCGCACAGAATGCCGTTACCTTCCCACCAAAGGTGGTCCCTATTTTTCTACTTGCATTTTTTATGTGCTTTCGAACTGCTAGGTTGGCAGAAGCTGGGACAAGTAACGGGAGCTCACCCCGTTATGCGGCACTAGGGATTCGAACCGCTGAACTGCCAACCTTTCAATTGACAAATTCAGCGTCTTAGCCACTGAGCCACTGCGTCCCTTATAGCTACAAAGCATAGCTATTCACTATTTCTTTGGTAAAGGTTATTTTTAATTTTCACTAATTACAAACACTCCACAAAATTATTTACTCTGAACTTATTATATACAAGTGTACATTTTGAGGTTTATTCCAGCCTCTGGAAAGTTATACCTTCTCTTACAGTCTCTTTGGAAAGTTAGCTGTGAGGAAAGTTGATTATAAATGATTTAACAGTAATATTGTTTTAATACTTCAACTGAAATTTCACATTTCTGACTTCAGAATACCCTCTGCTAAAACTATGTAGTATTTGACAGGCTATTTCTAAAAACAGTTCTTTAATTTTGCTATTTTTGAATCAAGTTATGAGGCTATATGTCTTTGAGGATTTCAAAGAATCCATTCTAATATTAAGAACAGACATGTGACCAAAACACTGGGTAACGTCTTTGCAGAGAAATATGTTAAATTTGAGACAGCATTCAAACACTTGATTCTTCATTTGCACTCAAAAGAATACTTACCAAAGTATGCAAAATTGATAATCATATGATGTATGTTTTGTAATAACAACAACAACATTTAACAGTGATACCCATTGTCATCGGGGCACTTGGTACCATGTCCAAGAATTTTACAAAATATATAAAGAAAATGCAGCTTCCTGCAATAACACCAGCGGAACTGCAAAAAACTGCACTACTCGGAACATCATGTATTTTAAGAAAATACTTGGTTGATACCTAGGATGCTGGCAGCAACCCGTATCAACCATTAGCACCAGTCACTCATATTTGTGACACATTTTTAAATGTTCAGTTGCCCGTGTTTCATGTTTAATGAATAAAAGAGATGATGATGATAATAACAATAATAATAAAGAATACGATTATGATACTGTTTAAAGCACCTGAAGCTGCTGGATCCACTCCTTTTAGTTCTCCCTCAAGCATGGAAGCCAGCTGAGCCTGGGCCAGTCACTTCTTTTCTGGACTAAATTAAGTGTCAGGCTCTGCAGCAAACCTTCTGATAAGCAAAATCCCTCATCAAGCCATGTAATGACAGCATTACTATCAGAACTAAATGAGCACAGTACAAAAATAATCAGACCCTGCAACCACACTGGAGAAATACTAGGAAGAACAATGATTAAAGGTACCAACCCAACAGATGTGCAAGATAAGAGCAAATCATTCTAAAAACCCAAAAATCAATTTAAATAGAGTAAACTACATACCAGACAATCTATGTGGTAAAGAATTATAGTGCTGTTTAAGGAAAGTTTCATTGAAGTTCTTTGGATTAGTTGCCCCAAAAAGTCGATTCATTTCTTGATTCAACACTGTCCTGACCGTTTCTTGTAGATCTTTACTTTCAGAAACTATAGTATTAAGAACATAGAATTAATTTCAGAAGAATCTATTGGGCTTTAATAGCTTAAGATTTATTATGTTTTGCTGTTTCTCCTGTAATCCTGATTGTTCTGTTGTGCCAAATAACCCTATACATACATAACAGAATACAAGACCACATTAAGTAGGCTGGCTTTATGTTGATAATTATGATATTAGCATAAAACTAGACTACAATGAGGCATGTCATTCATTTAGCTGTTAGCCCAATATTGTTTATTCTGAAAAGAATTGGATTGCCCGAATGTTATGTTTGCTTGCAACTCAGGATATAGTATCTTAAACAGGAGACAACATTTGCTACCGAATATAAATTTCAAAGGGATTGTGATAGATTTTCAGACATGGAGAGTGCTGGGGAAAACTGCATATTTAGTGAGGATAAAAATATTGATATATAATTGAAAAAGGAAATATAATGTATAAGAAAGAACGTTGACATTTGGGAGTAGTTAGAATCTTTTAAATTGAGAACTCAAAAGGCATAGTAAAAAGTACTTTCTAGCAATCTACCTTTGCAACTACCTAAACTCAGTCCAATTGTTCTTTCTGTTAATATTTCTGCATTTCATCAAATATTTTAGTTTAGTAAACTGTTAAGTACTGCTTACCTGAATTTATAAACCAATGAATTTGCAGATATAAAAATAGATTTTTTTAAAAAAATTATCACATAATTCTTCATTTCAAAGGATAAATTCAATAACATTTTTAATAGCCTAAAGTATATTTTATCATACTGTGCAAACCCTATCATTTTAAATAACTCAATAATTAGTGAAAAGAAATCGTATGTATAAATCATTCATTTCCTTTATTAGCAAGAGCTAATTATGTCCCTTCTGGAAGTTTGACTACTAGATCATATAAGGTAGCTTCATACCACTGCTGAAGAGATGTATCATACACTCATGAAGCCATGGATGATTAGGATCAATAGCAAATGCTCTCTTCACAGATTGTAGCATAAGAAGAAATTTTTCTGTATGAGACAAAATTGCAAAATAATTTCCATAATCAGGAATGCAAACAGAACACCCAATTATGCTTTACAAGTATAAATACAATTTGAAATTACAATTAGAATAAGCATATACATCCTGACTATGTTGCAGTACAGTACAGATCATAAATCTCATAGCTGGTGAGATTTGGACAACTTATAAGGTTGTCTCTGCAGAGCTCTTGGCTTGCACAGAATAAGGCGAACCTGCATATGGTAAAACTGGACTTTGTAGGTATGGCATATTGGCCAAAACGTACTTAACTGACAGGTACACTCTTACTATTAGCACTTTAGTTTTAACCGAGGCAAAGTTAAGGGAATCTTTATTCAAATAGCTCAGCAGGCATTGATATCTCAGATTGAATCAATAAAACACATCTTTAAATTGAAATATTAACATTAAATGTTTTTAATATTATCAAAATCTTAAAGAGTCCATCAAACATTACAGGATTTTAGGTGTTTTTATTTGGCTAGTCAGACTTAGACTAATTTTCCTATTTGATTTTCCTATTTTGATTTTTTTTTTACTTGTGAAAATTGCTGATTCCTGCTTAAGCTGTGTTGACTAAAGGACATAAAAATGCTTAAATAATAATATAATAAAATACAGATATTATTTAATTACAATATTTTAAAACTGAATGTAATAGTTCAGAAAGGTTTGACTACTGTACAAGTGTCAATATATCACTCACTCAAGGCAAACAAGAAAGTAAAGAAAATGGATAGATTCATGTTCTTTCCAGATTCTGCATATATCTCTTTAGAAAGATGACCTTACACCTGAAAATATACCACAGCTCATTCATATGCTACAGTATTTTTTCATTTACCTTTCCTGAAGTAAATTTCAAAGGCAAAAAGATGGGTTTCTATTTTGTTCTTCACCAAATTCTTCAACGGAGTTAAAAACTTAATAGCTTCTTCCAAAGGTGCTTCAACCTAAAATTGGTGGGGGGAAATCTTGCAAAGTTAAAAAAAAATTCAAGGAGATCGAAATACTTACTGGAGATGAACGATTATTCTATTAAATATATGCCAAAGAAAAAGAAAAGAAAAGAAAAAATCCTAGAGCCTCTTAATACCTAATGTCACCAAGCTGAAGAAATAGACTTAGTCACAGCTCAAGTCTACCCCCTTCTTCCTTTTAAGTGATAACTGTCTTTCATTACTATTAGGAATAAGTAGTATGATAAGGGAAAATTTGTAAATCCTTTAGCACTATTTTTGGTCCTGCAGTATAGTGACTTACAATGTGACTAGAGTTTAATATCCTATTACTAAGTACATCACGTAAAACAATGCATAAAACACAATACACTGTATCATGGTTTTACTGAATATCTTGCACCAACATCCATTATCTACTGGAAAAAAATGATAAAGCCCAAAGATAACTGGCTCTTTTTAGGAGTGAAAGTTGTGTCAAATACACCAATCAGTGAGCTGATATCAGGTGTGAATTTAAGAGGCCCTCATAATAGTAGTAGTAGTAGTAGTAGTAGTAGTAGTAGTAGTAGTAATAATAATAATAATAATAATACCACCTTACTCGGAACATCTTACATCCTCCGACGATACCTTAACAGTTCCTAGGTCCTTGGTTAGGACTCGAGCTGCTGAGCTATTAACCAGCCTCAAAGGCTGTAAATCTCACGAAAGATTAACTAATAATAATAATAATAATAATGATAATGATGATAATGGTTGGTTGCCACCATCATTTATAGGATAGTTTATCCTATTATAGGATTTCCACAAATGTGTAACAGATGAGAAGATTTATAATATTTATAACATATACTATTTTCTCTCATATTATCAGCATTGTGCATATACAGTGCAAACGTTAGTGTTTCTCTCTCCAGTAAATTATATAGCTGTAAGAATAGAGATTACTTTTATAAAAAACAATCAAATCACATAGATATTACAATACTATGTTTAGGCCCAGGAAAGAACCAAAGTTTGGTTGGGAAAGCATTAGCTGTTTAAGTACTCCAGAGAATTAACGTCCATCATGCCAGTTCACACTGAGGCCATTAATAAAAATGTCTATTTTAACAATCTGAAAGAGGCAGAAAAGTGAAATCAATCCTGTTTAGATTTCTATTGGCTTTCAATACATTCTCTTTCAAAAATTAAAATGAAAAAGCAGGCTAGTGGAAGGCAAGTCCTTACCCTTCTAATCTTCTGACAATCTGACTCTTGCCCCAAACATAGGGGTAGGTTGAGGCTGGAGCCCAGTGATTGTGATGATTTTATGTACTGGGGAATATTGTTTTAGTGTTATTGGGGTGTGGGGGGAGACGTTGATTTTTACTACTTCTTTTATGTTTTTATTGTTCTTGTGAGCTGCCCAGAGTTAAGGTACATTGATCGGCAGCCATGTAAGATTCATAAATAAATAAACAATTAACTGACAAGAGCTTGTTAGGTGTTCTCAAAGTTCTCTCTTGTTATAATAATTATTTAACACACTGGTATCTTTCTTCTTCCATGTTACTTCAAGCCCATGTTGGGAGAAAAAAAAAAAAGCAAAATGTGATGACCCAAAAATTTCAAGATGACATTATTTTCATTGCCATAGCAAGTACTGTAGTAAGAAGCTTCCAGCTGAAGATATTTCACCATTCTACCAACTATTGTTCTATTCTTGGAAGCCAACATTCTAGTGTTGGATTATCAATCTGCAAGATCAATGAAAAATAAATCTATCTTCTAAACAGAAAGTTTCTTAACTCTCCAAAATGAAGTATGTAATTACAAATTAATTATGGTATAATTGTTTTAAAAATTAGCAAGTTCTTTTAAAAATTGCATATATCTAATCATCTGACAAGTCAAAGAAATGACTCTGTCTTGAACCATTATTCAAAGAAACTCAGTAGCTTCTGTTAAATATAGCATGCTATTAGAAGGTAAGTCTATCTTTTTGTCTTGAGGTCCCACAGTCCTTTATTTCAACCTCAATATAAAAATATAAAAATTAGTGAAGGACAAACTTTGGCCTATCCTTATATTGGCCAAATATTTTTATATGAATATTCAGAACTGCTACTCTTCAGTTAATAACTTAACTTGTTAAGTATCTCAGTAATACTAGAAAACTATATCAGATTCTACAAAATCTTCGATATGCCTTGCTGCAAAACCATGTGTCAAGATATATACTGAAATTATTAACTCTAGCTGAGTGGCCATTCAAAAGTTTATTGAAGAGTCGCTCTTAAAATGAAATATATTGCGAAGTAATATTTTTAGTATAGTGAAACTTTAATTTAGCAGATACAGATACAACAAAACAAATTTGCAGTACTGGTCTGCGAACCGGAGATTGGGGACTTCTCATGTAAATCACTGCAATGACTCACTTTCATATTTAACAGATATCTGCAAATAACCCATAATTAGTTTTTAACATGAGATTTAGATAGAGCTGTATAGAAACACATGTGAAGCCATTTAATATACTGTAATCTGATACCTTTGCCAATTTCTCAGGAATAAGCTCTTCCTTTGGCCCTCCAATCTCTTCATCATCATCATCTTTTTTCTTTTTCTGATTTCGTTGCTGCTTCTCTTTTTCAGCATTCTTTTTTTCTTCTTCCAGTTGAGCTTTTTTCTGAGCTCTCCTCTGTTTATTGCGTAGCTTCTTTAACTCTTTATCAGACATATTTGCTTTGTAGAAAAACACATTTGGTTGTATATTAGAAAACCCACTTTTTATTTCATTTTCAAATTAAGCATCTATAAGTTTTCTAATTCTATTTTTTCTAGCTCAAAATTAAGTGACTTCTAAGTCCATAAAACAAACTCCCTAATTTGATCTTCTCCAAAGCATTTATATTGTTGCCCTCTAGTGTCAAGACTCTGAGAGAAGAATGGTTCTGCCTATAATGAAGGAAGCAAAAATAGACCTCTTTTTCTAGAAGTCATTATAGAACTCAACATTGTATTATAGTGGTTCTCCTTCTTTCTCTTAATTAATTTCAGTCAGTTTTCACTGAGGAGGGAGGGTTGGCAGAGCAAGCCCAGGGCCTCTACTGTATGTAATTCCATGGAACTCTTGACCTCCTGTTTAATATTTACATGACCCCCGTGGGCAAGGTTATCAGTCAAGTCGGGTATCATGAGTAGGCTGATGATGACCCCAGACAATTGATGTTAACTATTCTTAAAATAAAGTGGTTGTGAATATTTGTAACAAGTCCAGAGATTTTCCATCTTTAGTCCTGAATGGGGCTTATTTCCTTATTAGAGATCAGTGCACAATTTGGGTTTTCTTTTGGATTTGCAGCTCCTACTCAAGGAGCAAGTGGCAGCTGTAGCTGGGATAGCACTTCCACAGATTCATCTTCTACACCATCTGGACCTGTTCCTAGCCTATGAGGCCTTTTAGACAGTCATCCCTTGATCACTTCATAGGTGAACTACTGCAATATATTCTACATGGGGCTGGTCTTCAACAGCAGTTATGCAAAAGCATAAGCAGTTGAGGGGATGCTATAACATGCTTACATAATGCATCTATTTCATAAGCTGTACTGATTATCAGTTGGCTTCCAGGTGTAATTCAAAGTGTAGTTATTACCTATAAAGCCTTTTGTTGCATAGGGCCTGCCCATTCTGTACAACTGGATGAACTTGCCATGTTTTGGGGGTCTATTTAATGCTTTCTTCTACTTAATAAATAATAGAATAATATAATGGGAAATAAGAAGAAACTCTTCTTTGTTGCAGAGAATGAACAGCGCTCCCACCCTGCTAAAAAGATTTCTATAGCTGCCTACCCTTTAAAAGGCCCCTAAAAACCTGTCTCTTGCTCCAGGATTTGGGGTAGGATAGTAGCATGCTTCTTATAGGAATGTTTTATGTCCAGTTGGTTTTATTGCTTTTTTTGACATCTTAAAACATTTTGTTATATTGTTCTGAATCTGTTTTATTACTGTATATCATCCAGGGTCATTATGAAGTTAGAAACGTTAGACCTTAGAAATTTAATAAATTTACGAATTTCTACTTTTAAGCTTTGTGCTGTCACATCAACTAAAGTGCTATTTTATGAATGTTTGCTCTGAGCTGTCCAGTATAGTAGTGCAATTCTTGAAAATGTTATATGTATAGTTTTTGAGAGTTTATAGCTGATTTGAAAAACAATGAAGTATACGGTTTTTAAGAATACAGGTTGTCCTCGACTTCATTTAATGACTGTTCAAAATTACAACGGCATTGAAAAAAAGTGACTTATGAACATTTTTCACACTTATGAACGTTGAAGCATCACCATGGTCACATGATCAAAATTAAAATGCTTGGCAACTGACTCATATTTATGATTAGAGTTATCCTGGGGTCACATGATCACCTTTTGTGGCCTTTGCTACAAGCAAAGTCAACTGGGAAACCAGGTTCAATTTACAATTGTGTCACTAACTTAACAATGCCCAGTGATTCACTTTACAACTGTGGCAAGAAAGGTCCTAAAATGGAGCAAAACTCACTAACAAATGTTTCGTTTAACAACATAAATTTTGGGCTCAATTGTGGTTGTAAGTCGAGGACTACCTGTATTGTATTCAACAATTTTGCCTCTTAAAACACCAGCAATAGCAATCCGAAAATGTTATGCAACATACATGCAGAAGAGGCTGTATGTTTATACCTGTATCAGTTTCATGTTCTTTATTTTCATCCGTCAGAGGGTTATCATGGAGCTTCAAGTATATTTCTATGGCAATTCTTGCAGCTTTAAAATAAAATGGGTGCTGTCGAAGTACATCTTCTAGTTTTAACAAGTCTACATATGACCGAAGTGTAATTTTCCTCATACAGTATGTGTGGAAGTCAAACTGGTCATCTGTGATTTCTACAAAATGCTAACATAATATGTAATTATCTAGCAAGCATCCAATATGACAATAGTACACACTTAACTTAGAAATGACTACTGAGGTTTTAAAACTGAATTTAGCACCATAAAGATGGATGCTGTTAATACAAGCACACATAAGCAACAGCACCCAAAGTTTAGCATTTAACACAGAAACAGATAAGCATCAGATCCAGTCCTTGAAATTTGTAGTTTAGAAGGATATCAGATAGCATAGAAGGACAGAAGTCTCTGCCTAAAAGTTAAACCCACCAGTCAAGTCATGAGGGCCAAGACCAAGTTTTAAAAATTGGCATGGCAATTATGAGAGGATACACATAGTTACAGACCATTCAAAGTTACAATGGTGCTGAAAAAATAACTTTATGGCCCATTTATGACAATTTATAATCTTTTCAGTGTCCCTCACTAAGATAGATAGATAGATAGATAGATAGATAGATAGATAGATAGATAGATAGATAATTTTATTTCTATACCGCCCCTCTCCTGAAGGACTTGGGGCGGTGCACAGCCAAGTAAAAAACACAATACAAATCCCAATTAAATTTAAAAATCATTAAAATTATTACATTTACGGCCAAGATTCGTTAAAAACCCAAAAATTGAAAACTCCAAATTTAAAACTCCTTTACAAAGATAGCCCTGCCTGTCGGAAGAGCAGGGTCTTGAGGGCACAGTGAAAAACTCGGAGGTCAGAGATTGTGCGTATTTCCGGGGGCAGTTCGTTCCAAAGGGCAGGAGCTCCCACAGAGAAGGCTCTCCCCCTGGGTGTCGACAGCCGACATAGTTTGGCCGACGGCACCCTGAGGAGCCCCTCTCTGTGGGAGCGAACTGGTCGGTGGGAGGCTATCGGTGGCAGAAGGCGGTCTCGTAAGTACCCAGATCCTGAGCCATGGAGCGCTTTAAAGGTGGTAACCAACACCTTGAATCGCACCTGGAAGACCACTGGGAGCCAGTGCAGCTTGCGCAGGAGAGGTGTTACATGAGCGCAACAGGTTACACCCATAATCACCCGTGCGGCTGCATTCTGGCCGGCTGCATTCTGGATATGATAGTCATTACAGTGAATATATCTTGTATGTGCCTGACCTGTGTTCCCACCCTTACCCTCACCCCCATGCAGAACAGATTGATTGGAGAGAAACTTTTTGCAAGAAAGTAACTGTTTGCTCTTCTAAACATTGAAAACACTGAAACCGCACTAGAAGCCTAGGTCTGGGAGCCATAAGTGCACCACACAGTTCACAGTACTGTCCTGGAATCCCTTTCACTTCAATCTCTCTGCTCTGGGAGGAAGGAGAAAAGCAAATTTGTCCATCCTTTGTCTGCCCCTTTCCTTCTCCTGGCTAATCACACTGCTCTCAATCCATAAAAGAGCGAATAGTTTATTCTCTTGAAATCTTTCTCTCCAATCTCTCTGCTTTACAGGGGTGCTGTGGAAGAAAAACAGTAAGCAACTTTGGTAGACAATTTCTCTTTTGTCCGAGTCTTCCCACTCCTGCAGAGCAGAAAAACTGGGGAAGGATTTCAAGCGAGGAAGCTGGTTGTTTTTCATAAATCCATGTGATTTGTGTTAGCAGTCTAGGGCTGGAAGGCGCATGTTGCCAAATGACTCATAGTAATCACTTGAAATCTCCTTCTCTCCAATCTCTACTCTGCAGTCAGAGGAGGAGGAAAGGAGAGACTGCCTACAGAATTTTTCTCTCCACACCCCTACAGGGGTTGATAGAATTTAGATAGAAAAACACAGAAATATGTGATCTTACAAAAAAAAAAAAAAAGTATTTCCCATTATTAAATAATATGAATGAAAACAAAAATATACCATGCAACACAAATAAGCCCTTGTAACTAAAATACTGTCTCAAACCTTATCCCTGACAAACAAGACAATAAGTATTAATGTGAAGCCATTAAATACATACTCTTTCAATTTCATGACATTTTTTAAGTGCTTCTCCAAATTTATTCATTGTTTTATAAGCTTGGGCATATTCTGTCTGGAACCACATACACTGCATTTCATTCAGGTTTTCCACAGCTGATGTTCCTTCCTAAAAAGAAAAAAATAGAAATGTCAGGCATGACCCTTTGCTACTATAATTTGCTTATATTAAAAAAGGAAACTCTGGAGATCATTATTTTTTATTCTGAAGATGATGATTATGAGCAGCTCTTAGCACAAGAAAAATATGCTGCTGTGAAATGAAGCCATATACACCCATAGAACCAAATGCAAAAGATTCAGAATTCTATATTAGGGCCCGACTGGGTTGAATAAAACCCCTGGCCAAGTTTTTATCTATGTACTGACGTAGCTCGTTGGTCATCACATACATGCGTGGTTTTGGTAGCTTGGCTCCAGGGATCAATTCTATAGCGCAGTCAGTTGCTCTATGCGGGGGTAATATCTCACACTCCTCCTCGTCAAAGACTGCCAATAAATCCTTATATACATCCGGATAACCGGATGATATAATTTAATTTATTTAAATTAAATTAAGATATAATTTAATCTATTATATAAATAAAATAAAATAAAATAAAATAAAATAAAATAAAATAAAATAAATAAATAAATAAATAAATAAATAAATAAATAAATAAATAAATAAATATGTTTCATTCCCATTAGCAGCTGGGAGCAGAGGTATTTCCTCATAAAAACATCAGACATATATTGATCAAGCAAGAAGTGGCTGCAACTAACAAAGAATGTTGCTTTGTGAAAATGCAATTTTAACAGCTCTTAAAAAATTAATTCCATACTGGAATAGAAAATAGAAAGCCAAATAATGTCACAAGCAACCAAAACTCGGAAATGACTGCAGCAACCTCTTAAGTGAAAAGAGTACATCTGGAGTTCTTTAGCTTAGAAAAATATAAGGGAAGATCATAGACATAATATGATCCAAGAAACCCCACAATTGGTCTCCCCCAGACACTGGATTATATGGAAAAGTCACAAGAGATATTAAAATTACTTTTTTTTTTTAACAAAGCATGGAACATATCATGTGCACTATCGCAAGATGTACTGATATGAAACTAGTTGAATGACTTTAAAAGTGGATTAAAAATTCATGGAGATAAAATGCTACATATGGAGCATTTTAATCGCCCATCTCCCTCCCTCATAGAGGGGCTCATACATTTCTCAAAACTTATTGCTGGGCAATAAGAGCAAAAGGGTTTAATGATTCATATTTTGCCCAGGTACTTCCACTGCTATAGAAATAGAAGTTGGAATTAAATAGCTCTAATATAAAATAAAATAATTGACAGACTAGAACAGTCCTTTTCATGTTTATATCAGGTTTTAGCATCCAAAAAATACTTTAAAAGACAATAATGCACAGTACTGCCCAACGTAATGGTTGACACTCTAATTGCTATGTATAACAGTAAAAAAATATGAGCTGAACAAACCCTTGTAAATTTAGAACACATTTCTTCAGCTTCTTTTATCAAGCTGGCTTTTAACATGTACTTTGCACATTTGGAGTTGATAAATCTATCTGCTGTGTCCAGTGCCTGAGCCTCATCCATCCACCTTGCAGCTTCTTTTATGTTTCCAGCATGCTTAAATGACAGGAGGGAAACAAGTTAGATATATGACATTAACTACAGTTTGGCACATCATTTTTTTATATGTTATAAAAATGTCAGGAGAAAAAAGATAGTGACAATATTATGTCACCCCATAAATTATTCTTTTGAAAATTAACCGTGGAAGCATAAAATGTATTTACTCAAAAGCAAGACCTATAGTTCAAAAAATGATTTACTCCCTAGCAAATATACATAATTTGTAACCTGAATAATTTTAGAAACATTTTCTTTATAATTTTGTAATTTTTCACAAATATTGTTTAAGTTCTCTAAAATGTAAAGTTATAAAGGTAGCCGATTTCCAACACAATGGTATAACAACGAACATTTACCTTATAGATTTTAGCTTTCACAAGGAACAGTTCTATCAAGGTAGGTGTGCTTTCTATTGCAGCATTTATATAGTCTAGAGCTATGGATGGCTGCCCAATTTTGTCATAATGCTGTGCCAAGTAGTACTGGACCCAGAGTAAAGTAGTTGGAGGTTCTTCTTTACCATCATCTATTTGGACAAAATGTTACAGTTTTTTTAAACTGAGATGTATAACTAATATTGCTTGTGATCACTTATAAAAGTATGAGGTGATTACATAAAGTTAACTAAACAAGACATATTCCATTTTCTCTTTTAGTAATATTTCATGGAAAATGTGCTGTATATTTCTGCTGATTTTATATTTCATGAAAAGTATATATCAAAACTTATTTTAATATAATTTGGGAAAACACTTCAAGGCCACAGCTACTAAAATGAAAACGGAGACCAGATCTGACCATCTGAGTGATTAGTTCATCTATGGCTAAAATAATATTGATAATCCAAACTTGCCCCAATCATCTTATACAAGGGTACCAGATAGAACATATCCTACATTCAAGTTAATCCTGGCCCTGAATATATCTGCAGCTTATGGGAATAAGCAATGGAAACGAGGAGATCAAAATTACACATTATAACTGCAAAAACTGCTTGATGATCCAAATCAGCATGAGTATTTTCTTCATGAAATAGTGATTATTGTCAATAAGAATACCAAAGTGCCATAGTACTTACCATTTGGGTTAAACAGCCTGCAACCTTTCAGAGAAGTTTCATAACCCACCACTAGTTCCTCTATAATTGCCACCTATGTGTAAAAAAATAAATATATACATTTTACTTCAATGGATTGTAGAACAAATGCATTCTTTATTCATTAGAAATCTAAAAACAAATATGATTCTTAATGTATTCTTGTCACAATGCGATGGGGTTCATTTTTGGACCACGTGTGTATTAAGTAAAGGTGGCAATGGACAGTAACACATGACTGGGAACTTTTTACTCTTTCTTTACTATATACAAAAGCTATTTACAACAGGGTGAATAATGCTACTTCTTATGCTCCCTACCAGCAACTTTTCCCCCTCTACTTCTGCTTCCTTTTCTTAATGTTCCCTCTTCCCTTTCTAGGCTTGATAAGAGACAGAAAGGAAACAAAAGGGCTGGGATTCCTGGAATGTGCTCATCATTGCTTGATTCTCTTTCCGGCTCAACTGAATCCCCATCTGCTTCTGCGTTGCAGGAAGAACACTTTTTTGAGTCTTCTGCCCAGTGTTTCCCCAATACCAGGGTTACTGTTCTGGCAGCCAATTTCCCTTTCTATCCTCTCCAGCCCTTAATGATCTGAAATCTTGGGTGGAGTTCGTCCGACTCGGTCTTCTTACATCAAACAGGACATTTGTCCTGTTCACCTTACTCCATCCTCCATCTCTTCTCCAGTATCTCCTTCCACTCCAGCAACAAACTTTGACTCTTTATTCCTCTCCTTCTCTCTCCAGTTTTGGGTTATTCTGGAACACATTCACAGCAACTGAGAAGGTAGGTGTTCTCCCAGGGTCTAGTTCCCAATACCTATATACCTCAGTCTACCAATGGGACTTCTCATGCAGAAGCCACCCACAAAATCCTGGCTAGTAGCCAGGTCAATTAAACAGGCCTCCTGGCAGCTGGCTCTCAAGACCACAACTGAGCTGGGTTTTTTTCTCCTTTTCTTTACTCCCTTGTCTGGCTCACACCAGCAAAACTGCAGCCATGACAGACCTCAAAATCCATACTCTACAATCTCTTTATATCTTGTCTCTCTGTCTATCCATTCAGTCATCTATTTATCTCAGGTCTATCAAACATTGCAGGTAATTCTTGTTTAATGACTGCAATGGATTCCAACATTTCAGTCATTAAGCAAAATGGCTGCTAAGTGAATATGTGACTGACAGATACAGAGATAGTGTGAAGATGACTAGTTGTTGCAGTTTCATTTAGATAAGTTGTTTCTTGCAATGTCCTGTGCCTGACTATTTTCCCCTTCCTTTTTCTGCCATCTAGCAAGGCAGACATTGCACAAACAAACAAATAAACAAACAAAGGATCCTCCCATCAGAAGCCCGGTTCAGCCCTGGCCGGTTGCAGGCTGAAATGGAGCCTCCGTGGGCAGGATCCGAGTCTCCAGGGGCTCCATTTCAGCCTGCAATGGGCCAGGGGAGGGCCGAACGGAGCATCGGTGGGCCAGATTCGCCCCTCAGAAGCTTCATTTTGGCCAGCAACCTGCCGTGTGAGGCCTGAGGAGGCCCGAACAGAACTGCAGAGGGGCACACAAGGCTGGAGAGGAGACTGCTTGCTAGATCTTCACAAGGTAAGTGACCCGGTGTGGCAGTTGGGGGGGGGAAGAAAGCAATTAGGGGGAGAATGAGGTATTTCAGTGGGGTGGGGAGGCCTTGGTGGTCTTAAGATGTTCCATCAGTAGGCCGCCCCATGGCCTTCCCTACCCTGAAATACCTCATGTCACTTAACGAGCCTCGCATTCGATTAGCAAATGCGTGGGCTAAAGGAGGGAGTGATCCCGTTCAAGGTACCAGATTCTCTCCATCAATGGAATTGGCAGGCTCCATTACATTCGTAACTCGAAGACTACCTGTACAGTGGGCATACTGTTGGGTTGAAAATTGTATTAGGAAACAGTCCATTCATTAAAATACATGCACAAACCTTTTCTTTATCCTTGTATAGCGACCGTAATGTATTGAAAACTGGCGGGCAGCCTTTGCTGAAATTCATCCTCAGAAATTTGTCCAAACACTCCTTGAACTTGTCACCTAAAGAAAAATATGTGTGAATTCTGCTGCAAGCATGTTGCTTCAAACCAAACAAATGCTTATTCTTCTCCAATGATAAACACTAAGAATTAGATGTATTGAATTAGAATTCTATACCATTCTATATCTGGCTAGCATAGCTGGCTTGGTATTTTATAATGTCTATGCCAGGTTAAATAAAACATTTCTGACATTTTAGAAATGAAGATAATGATAAAAGATATAATACCAAAGTAATCCTCTCTGCCTCTTTTACAGATAGGTTGAAGTATCCAAACAAAACTTACCCGATAAAAAGTTTAATGGCAGTCGTCTTGGAACTAGTCCCCTTGGGTATTTAGTCCAGGCCTCTTCATAGATTTTGAACCTCTCTAACATATTAGCTAGGGTAACAAAATCATGTTGTTATACTCATATCCAACCTAAGCTGCCAATCAAATCTTACATTAACTGTCACAGATTTTAAAATATAACAGAAGCTATAGAATCAAAACAGAATTAATTTGGCTAAATATCAAAGTGACAATTCTAGAGTCCCCTTCAGCATGACTAGGACTTTGGCAAAATGATCATTTTGTTTCTTAAACAGCAGTCCCTCGGGCCAAATTGTAAGCAAAATTTTAAAAGCTGGATCCTATGCATTTGAACCAATTGTCGCAGCAATATCATATTAAGCAAAACATTGTTCTTATTGATCACAGACATGCCACCTGCCTACCTTTCATTGGCTTGTTACCCCAGTTTTCCTATATCCCCTACTTTGTTACACAAGTCAAGCTAGCTTTCTCTCTCTTTTTAAAAATCACGCACACACAGATGTACACCTAACAACCAAAAAATATGATAAAGTTCAACCAAAGGTATATTTGCAAAGGTGAATGATATTTGTAGAATCTAAAAGTATCTCTGTAAAATGTTAATACAGAACTACCTCAATCTTTTATTAAACCTGAGAGACATGAAAGGAGCCTCCTTGAAGATTGCATTACTTTTGGCCAGGCCTGTCAAACTGGTGGCCCACGGGCCGGATGCATCATGTGGGCCAACCCACCCCGGCTCCGCAAACACAAAAAACGTTGCGATATCTCACGTGAAGCCATCAAGTTTGACATCTGTGCTTTTGGCAAACAGGTGTTCCTGGCAAAGGTGTTATCACCAGCAAATCCTTTCAATCCACAAGCACCCTTTGGATAGCTTTGTAGGTGCTTCTGACATGCATACATCTAGCTATATAAGCCAGATATGATTCCATCTTCTCATTTTTAGTACAATATTTTGATATATTTTTACAATGTGCTTAGGTTCTTAATATTCTATTATGTACCTTGGAGTAATAAATGTAGATAAAAGAAATGAAAAAAGTGGATATTCTATTAGTATTCATTATGGTTTCAAGTTTTACTGTTTTAAGCATTGTAATTACTTGCCTTTTCTTCAAAATTAAATGCAATGAGTAAATACTAAAATGTATAAAATGAAGGAAGAGCTTACATCAAGGAATTTGCTTTACAATAATAGACTTGGTCTAAAGGTAAATTACTTATTAGCTTTTTCATCCACTATCAAAACAAGTCATGATTGCTCTGTTTCATTTTGGATTCTGCGGGCATTCAGGGAGCTAACCACTGCCCAAAGCCTGAGAGCTGGCATAGCTGCTGGAAGGGAGGGAGTATTCCTAAATATTTTAATCTCATTTGTTTTGACCAGATTTGTCTGCCAGAGCCAAATCTATTTCCCAGTATCACTGTGACACCTGATTGTTTCTATAAATGACGATGTAACATGCCATTTAAAAACCTTTAAAAGGATATCTTTACATGGAATGTTTCAGTCCAGCATCAAAGCAGAGAAAACTGTCAGGAATTCTTGGTATCTTACTACTCACTTGCAAGAAATGAAATTGTGGTTGAGGTAAGAACCCAAGGTTTCTAGGATAGAGAGAACTGCTCTGAAAACATAGATCATCTGTATCCCAAGGTATTTTGCTTTGGAAAGGCACAGAAAATCCCTCTAATTTAATTTTGAGGATACAAAACAAATAGGGGGCAACTCTTTTAAAGATATATAGTTTCATCTTTGTCTAAATAAACACTAATCTAGCAGAATTATCCCTGAGATATGGTTTACCTTATGTCAGTAAACTATCAATTCTGAATAAGTTAAACATCTGTAGACCAGTATGAAACTTAATACCATCCTCTAATCATTCTGGGCATATCCGTCAGGATGGCAACTAACTTTGGCTATGATTTCCCATCGCTCCACTTTTAATTAGCAGATGAGATGACATGAAGCTTAAACACCTCTGCCTCTTCCACGTCTTATCCTGACTCTTCCACGTGAGTAACTATAAACTGCTTTATAGAAATGCCTCCATATACAATACTACTAGAGGATGTGGCCTTGTTCTCATGTCACCTTGAAGTGGCTCTAAGGTGCAACCTTTAGCAGTGTTATATCAGGTTTTCTGCCATATCCACAATAGTGATATTTTTACTGAAGTATTTTCCAACTAGAATCACCTTTGATTCAAACTCAAATAAAAAAGTAACGTGTAAGTTTGAGGCTTGTTTTCATTGCTATTTATTAGGATTAGTCGATCCACCCTTGAAATAAATAGCTGACATTTATGTCAAACTCCGCATTTTGGAATGCAAAAGGGCACATATAACTGCATCCCTTTTTAAAATTTATTTCTTAAATTTATTTGCCATCTATCTTGCTATGGAACTATTCGACAGCTTATAATAATGAAAAGGAATGAATGAAAAGCGTATAAACAAAATGGAAGTAAAATAATAGAATAAAATAAACAATAAAAACAATAATACATCAATACAATAACAAACTTTTCATCATATTTCATATTTTTCCAGATCACAACACTATAAGAATCTGCACTGCCATGCTCCCAGGAGACAGGTAAATATGTATTCCAATTCATATGAACCTCATTCATTATAGTCAATATTTTTTTCAAACTTTATAATTTTTCAAATTGTGAAAAAATAGTAACACGTTTTATTTTTACTTATTCTGAATTTTTTACATATAAAAAAAATATTCACACCTATATAAACTAAAGCTTATCATTACCTGGTTTAAGTGCTTTTTCTAAACCTTTATAATAAGCCCAATTTTCAGGATTTCTTTCTTGCAATCCTCTATAAATCTCAGCTGCCTCTTCCAGCCTGCAGAGTTGTAACAGAAGTTCTCCTGTTAAAAATGCAGAGTTATCAATCAACCATGATAGAGTATTGTTAATATTTACCAATGTAATCAATGTTCTCTTTCCATATAATCCACATCTCAGGGTTGTTGTTGTATGATAAAATAGGAAAAGGAAACATTATGTATGCTACCTTGAGCTCTTGAATGAAACAGAAAAAAAATCTAACAAATATAAGCATCAGTGTTTTTCTTTTAAAAAATTCAAAATGTTAATGGTTAACATTTCACTGAACTTTCCAAAAACTACCCGGTATCACATAGTAGCTGGGATGTTTTCTAGTTTTACATTCACTACGGTATCTAATTTAGTAAAGTTAAGTTTAATCAACAGCAATCACACCTCCGCTTAGGGGATGTTCACCATATAAAATAGGAACAAGACAATTTTCACCAATTTCTTGTTCTTATGTAACTGTATACAATAGACTAAATGTGTCACTGCGTTTTTGTATTTACCAGCAGAGCTCATTATTTCTGGACTATCAGACTTTCCGTAGCATGCCAAGAATTGTTATCAGTAAGCTAAACTGCACATGCGTCTCCACCCACATTCCTTTCTTCGACTTCACTCTTTCCTTTGTTCTCTTGCCAGAAAGGTCCAGCTGAGAAATAGCCGGCACGAACTTTTTCAAAATGTAACCAATTAGATCAGTTAGTTGTTTTATTTTCTTTATAACAAATAAATGAGTTTTCTTAGACTATATCTTCAGGTTTTGTTTTCTTAAAGTATACTTGCAAGAAAAGGTCTCGATCCGCCCCTTGTAATCAGGTGCGATTATCCCAAAAGCAGAATGGGATTAATCAACGCCCTGACAAAATGTGCCCCAAATTTTAACTCTTTTGGTAAAAGAATGTGCTAAAGAATTCCAGAATGTTTCATTTCTCCTACAAGCCATTCTGAACTCTGTTCTGAAGGTTGTTTCAATATAATCCTTTGCTGTCAAAAAACTGAACCACCCTTCTTAAATCAAAACAGCCAGAAATGTGTGGTCCAGAGACAAAACAGCGTGTTCTGAAATTCTCTGGAATACTTCATTCACGGAAAATTTGGCACATCTATCTGGTATCTTCTTGAAAAACTATCAGAAGGGCAAAAACTATCAATAGTCTAGTAAACCTTGATCTAGTCAACAAATTTTTTAAAAAAAAGCAAAATTTATTGGTCGGAGAACACACTTAAGTTTAGTTCGTCATCCAAATTAAATAACTTGCTGGGGTGTGAGCAGACCTAAGACAAAACTGAATTTAATTATTTATTATAATAATTTCCCATTTCCATTACTTTACAAATTACAACTTGGTAGCAACTTTTGAGGAACTTTGAGTGCACCACTAGATAAAAAGGAAACACCATTCATTTTGAAGAACATTAGGTCCACAGAAATTTATATTAAATAAATGAGTTTTATTCAATTCTTCCACAGCTATAGCAATTACTAAGGGGACAAAAAATCAACTTTGGGCAAAGATAGTGAAAGCCAGGTTAAAAGCATTTAACCAGACATGTCTGTTCCTGTTAATATGTACCAGGAATACAAGGAAAACAAATACTGGAAGTATGGAGGTTAGGAAATTAAGAAAACTGATTGATTGGTAAGACAAATTGAAGGGTCAGGTCCTGTTCAATTTACAGAATACATACTGATGAAATATTACTTAGGAAAATATTACTCAGATTTGAACTACCATACTTTATATTATAATATTTAAATTTGAGAAAGGTGCTTGCCAGCCTCATTCTTTCTAGTTATCAAGCTATTAATAATTTGTCAGAACAATTATTTTTATTACTCATGGAACAGCATATAATCATATCAGTAGCCCTGATTATATGGAGAATTGGTAGTGATTTTATTCCTCAGACATTTAAATAAATCATACCACAAAAACATTTTTATTTGTAAAGAGATTTAGATGCAAGAGAATTTGAATAGCCCAGTTACCTTTAGTTTCCTCAACGGCTAACTTGTCACAGATTTGCTTTTCATAGGTTCCAAGATGATCCAAAGCTTCTTTATAAAGTCCTGCTTCTCGGAGAACTTGATTTTGATACAATAGCAACTCACTATACTCATAGTCTACTTTATCAGGAGAGGTCTACAAAGGCAAGAAAAAATTGTACTACTCATATTCCAAAGGTGCTTTTTTCAAAAGGCAACTGTACTTTGTTTTTCCTTGAACACGTTTTGCTTCTCATCCAAGAAGCTTCTTCAGTTCTTCAGTACTGCTCATATTTTTAATTTCAGTAACACAAATAAGAAATTAACTCACAAATTAACTTCAATCCAATAGGGGATATCTATATTATGTTGAACATATATGTGAGTTGTGCCAGATCTGATCCCCATCCACAAAATAGTCCTGCTTCTTTCTGAATGGGAAGTGGTAAAGTAAAAGCATCTGATACCATTCTTCATTTTCTGCAGATATGCAGATATGTTAATACAGCCTAAAGTTATGTCCAACATTCCTAAATAAGAACTTTTCATTTGATTTTCAGTTGCCTACAGTACTTGGAAATATACAAATTTCTGTCAAAGTAAAACAACAAATTTACAGTTTGATCAACAACTCATTGACTTACATATAAATCTATGTAATACCTGCTGGGTCTTCCTAAATTCCTCCAAAATCTTTGCTGCCATTTCATAGTCTTCCAGCAAATGATAAGCTATAGCATATCCAATCCATGATGCTCTCTGTGCAGGTCTCAGCTGAAGTAACTGATACCTAGTTTCCTGTATAACAATAATAAATATTAAAATCATATTCTAGCCGTCTGTACTGAATTGCACAATATCTATCAGAAATCCATACTGCTGTTGTTAAACGAGTTGTATCAGTTTTTAAAAAAGAATACCTTCTAATTTCACTATGAGTAGTCCTCAGCTTACAAGTTTTTTTTAGTGACCAAAGTTATAATGGCCCTAAAATATGTGACTTATGACCGTTTTCCAGGTACAACCTTTGCAGTATCCCCATGTGATCAAGTTTCAGATGCTTGGCAACTGGTTCGTATTTATGATGGTTGCAGTGTCCCAAGGTACCGTGATCCTCTTTTGTGACCTTCTGACAAGCAAAGTCAATGGGGAAGCCAGATTCATTTAACAATTGGGTTACTAACTTAACTGCAATGATTCACTTAACCACTATGGCAAGAAAGGTTTTAAAATGGGGCAAAACTCATTTAACAAATGTCTCACTTAACAACAGAAATCTTGGGCTCAATTGTGTCATAAGTCGAGGACTATCTGTAATTATTTCAATATTTTTATGTAAGAAAATGGATACAACATTTTGATTTACTTTTTTGACAAGGCAGAGAGCCATTTTGCATTCAGATTTTGTGATGTGGAAAACAGCTGATTATGACTGAGATAAAATTAGAAGTTAGTCAACTGAATTCAGGACTTGAGTCAAAAACAAGAATCAGCATTCAAAAGTTTGGAATTACAATGAGACAAGAGAATAAGGGAATGAAGCTTTCTTTAAAAATGGTATATAATATGTTTACTTTTGTGACAGAACTACTAGATATTTGAAAGCAAAGTTACGTTGCTGTAATAGGATAGGCTTATCCTATCCTCCAATGAATATATACCGGTATTTATGACTTTGTATATGGACATCTTTGTAGATTTGGGAAGAAGATCACTTTAGAACGAGACACTTATTTTTTGAGTTGGGGATAAAATAAGATCCCCATTTGCATGTGAAAGGTAATTAATGCATACACAGTCTCTAGAATGATTAAAGGTGGATGGCAATGCAATTTCCAGGTGGATAACAAGTAGGCAGGCAGGCAGGTAGGTGGCTGCTGCTGGGGTGGGGGAGGAGTTTATGTGCAAAGATAGGTTGAAGAGGGTGTACAAGGGAGAGTCAAGGATAGTGTGTGAAAGTGCAAGGGAGAGTTGGGAGGGACTGCAAGGGGATATGCAAGAGGCATGGGTCAGGAAGGGATGTGAGAGAGGGGTAGGATGCATGAGTGACTGGCCTGATTGCAGAGGATCTTGGGCAGGGTGCGTGGTGGTGGAGATTTACTCCAATGAGTTGCAACTTTTCCTGCCCGCCTCCCACTGATTTTCTGGAGAAGCCAGCAGGGAAGATTGCAAATGCCAATCAAGTGATTACAGGGTGCTGCAACTGTTATTAGTGTAAACCAGTTGTCAAATGTCCATATCACAATCATGTGACCGCTGGGTGCTAGGATAGGCAAAACTCCAAAAATCAATAATAGCCACAATTCTTTCAGCACCATCATAATTTTGAACAACTGCTGAAATAACGGTATAGGCTGAGGACTACTTGTGCAAAAATTGCTTGATTTACGATCATAATTGAGCCCAGAATTTTGGTCTTAAGTCACTGCAATTGTTAAGTGGGTCATCATGTGAACTGAATGAAAAACACCCTACAATGGGTGTTGTTTTTAAAAAAATTCTAAACTCTTTTCTGCTGGAAAATGTCAAAAAATGTCACAAATTGCAGGATGCTGCAACCATTCATGAATGTGAGCCAGTTGCCAAGCACACAAAACTGATCCGTTTGGGGGTACACTGGTATAATTTTAAATCATTTTTTAATTGGGTTAATGATTTTAATTTGGTATTGTATTGTGATTTGTATTGAAGTTGTCATTTTGTAAGCCGCCTTGAGTCCCTAGGGAGAAAGGCGGCATATAAATCGCAATAAATAAATAAATAAATAAAATTCAATCACATGACTACGTGTGTGTGCATACATAGCAACTGTAACTTTGAGTATAGACTGTAAATAGCTTTTTTGAAGTCCACTGTAATTTTGAAGGTCATTAAGCAACCAGTTGTTATGTTATGTTTATAACAATCAGAGCCCTTAACAAATTATTCTCTGGAATCGGAACATAAGTTCCTTTAATGGAGAAGTAGAAAATGAAGAGGCATTTTTGTGTCAAAGTTCTAATTTTTTTTTCCAGATGCTAAATTATACATACATTTATATAATCAAATCTCATTCTGGATGCTGTAACAGGGTCCTCCTGTCCCACTGAATCAAGAATTCTATCAAAAAATTTTTTTGCATCTTATTTAAATAATAAAGTCACAATTCTGTGAGATGATTGACTATGTAAATATGATTGCTGGATGAGTGGATGAGTAAGTAAATAAATGAGAAAAGCCATTTGTTATGAAACCTATAAAATGTTCTTGAAGCTTACTCTTCACTCACCCTGTAACCTTCTAGATCCCTCATTTGAATTTGTAGCAGTGAAAGGTCCCTCAAGATTTGGAGATTGTCCTTATCCCATTTCAGTGCATTTCTGTAACATTTGATGGCTTCGTCATATTTCTTGTCTGATCTTTGAAGAAGACCATAGACATGCCAGCCTGGATACTCAGTTAAGGACTTACATTTTGAAGAAATTACAAGAAGTGACTGAACTCATTTTCAGCAAAAACAAAGCACAATATAACAAAACATATCTCTATGGAAAAGCCATCTGCTTAGCAAAATAGCAGACACCTGTACTACCTTCTTCCCCTCCCATTTAATATTCCCCCCAGCATCAGTACAGCAACATTTATAAAGGTATAGGGATGGGGGAGGACAGGAAGACAAGGGAGGAGATGCGTATTTTGGAGCTCTGCAGCTACCAGCAAAGAATAGAATAGAATAGAATAGAATAGAATAGAATATGAAAGGGGCCTTGGAGGTGTTTTAGTCCAGCCCCCTGCTCAAGCAGAAGACCCTATACCATTTCAGACAAGTGGCTGTTCAGTCTCTTCTTAAAAATCTCCAGTGATGAAGTGCCCACAATTTCTGAAGGCAAATTATTCCACTGGTTAATTGTTGTCACTGTTAGGAAGTTTCTTCTTAATTCCAAGTTGCTTCTCTCCTTGATTAGTTTCCAACCATAATTTCTTGTCCTGCCCTCTAGAGCTTTGGAGAATAATTTGAGCCCATCTTCTTTGCGGCAGCCCCTCAAATATTGGAATACTACTATCATGTCATCCCTAGTTCTTCTTTTCTCTAGACTAGCCAAACCCAAATTCTGCAACCGTTCTTCATATGTTTTAGTCTCCAGGCCTTTAATTGCTTTTCTCTGAACTTTTTCCAAAGCAAAATATAGCAGATGTTGATGCATAACAGTAGCAGTATAGAGCACAGCATATAGGGTAATTGTAATAGAGTAATAGGTTATAGTAATAATAATGGAATAGCAATAGTATATAGTATAAACATTTTGATAATAATAATAGCAATTAAAAAGTAATAATTGTAATAATTATCATATTAATAGCATAGAGATAGCAATATAGCAACCGGCGTCAACTTCCCATCGCCTGGTGCGCTCTCACAGAGAGGGCCTACTCAGGGTGCCGTCGGCTAGACAATGTCGGCTGGTGACCTCCAGGGGTAGAGCCTTCTCTGTGAGCGCCCCCACCCTTTGGAATCAACTTCCATTGGGGCTCCGGTTGGCCCCTGACTTTCGCACCTTCCGCCGTGAATTGAAAACCTGGCTATTTATGATCCCCGGCCTGGACTGATGGGGTAGTATATTTTAAACTTTTTAAAAAACTTTTTTATTTTTTTGTGTATATTTGTTGTTTTTAACAGTCGCTTGATCGATTGTTGTTGTGAGCCGCCCTGAGTCCTTGGAGATAGAGCGGCACGCAAATTTTATAAAATAAATAGATAGATAGATAGATAGATAGATAGATAGATAGATAGAACAGGGGTGTCAAACTCCAGGCCCGGGGGCCGGATCTGGCCCACAGGGTGCTTAGATCTGGCCCATGGGGCTGTCCAGAAAACAATAAAGGACCAGCTTGCAGTGCCTCTGCCAGCGAAAAAAGAACTCGGGAGGGCTGCATGTGCCCCTCCCAAGCTCCGTTTTCACTGGCAGAGGGTTGCAGGAGGCCATTGCAGCCGAAAACAGAGCTTGCAAGGGCTGTGGGCATCACTCCCCAGCTCCATTTTTACTGGCTGAGGGTTACAGGAGTATGTCACAGCTGAAATGGAGCTTGGGAGCCTACTTTATAGTCGCCCCCAACATGAGAGATGTAGAGCTGGCCACGCCCACCCCACCCCCCAAAGTTCAAACACAACCTTGATGCGGCCATCAATGAAATTGAGTTTGATACCCCTGCAATAGAACATAGGAAACTTATGAAAAGAAACCACCTATTCAAGTTCCAGCAGTTTTGTGTTTGTCTTGAGTCTAGGCAGTCTATATTATCAGGTGGCAAATGGGAAGCAGTATGATTAGGAATAGGTCAAATCCTATTCCATGGAACTGGGTCAGGACCCTGAAGAGACAGGAACTGTAAAGCAAGAAGGAAATGTCTATAATCAACAATAATATTTTGAGACGCAAAGAAAATTATTCAAAATGATTCCTACATGAATCAAGTTTTTATGTGTGAGTAAAAGAGGGTACATAGAAAAGATCAGAAGGAAGGATAAACGTTCTGTGGGAAATTCAAGAAAGATGCCTTATATTTTAAACAGAAATTGTTACCAGCTATTTCTTCAACACCATTTAGAAAATATCTATTTGTAGAACATTTATAGCCACCCAGAATCATTTCTGATAATTAAATTTACCAGCGTATGAATTTACATTTTTAACACATCTGTTCTGTACCTTTTAAATGGTGTCTGTGCGTACTAACTCTATATCCATAATATACAATTGAGAATAGAAAGATTGAGGGTTTTTTTTCCCTTTGAAGGAAAAAGTACAGGTAGTCCTTGAATTACAACCACTTAATGACTGTTCAAAATTATGACGTGCTGAAAAAAGTGATTTACAACTAGAACTTGCACATATACCGTTGCAGCATCCCAGTAGTCCTGTGATCAAAATCTGGGAGCTTGGCACCTGGCATATATTTACAATGGTAGCAGGGTCATATGATTGCCATTTACAACCTTTCCGTTTGTGTGTGTATGTCTGACAAGCAAAGTCAATGGGGGAAGCCAGATTCACTTAATAAGTGTGGCCAAAAGGTTGTAAAATGTGGCATAACTCACTGAACAACTGTGTTGCTTAGCAATGATAGTTCTGGTCCCAAAATGGTTGAAAATCGAGTACTTGTAGTGGCAAAACAAATTAAAAGTAATTGTCCAGAACAAGATAGCAATAGGATTATGATCTCTCCATTTGCTTGCTTTCCCATTTACAATAATGTTATTGTCACCTTCAGTTTGATCTAGTAGCACATCTCCATCCAACAATCACTTTTGCTTTTCTAGAAGAATACAAGTATTTTAATTCTTCATGTAAAAAGAATAGTTAAGTAGCAGTCATATTTGCATATTTTCTTTTGCAAATTTAATCTATATTAAATTTAATCTATAACTTGAAAAGGATACAGACATGACTCTTCAAATCATTTCTTAGCCCCCTTCGAACCAGTTCATATGCCTCCTCTTTTTTACCTAAGCAGTTTAATGTCAATCCTTTCATAGCCAAGGTTTCTAAAACAAAAACATAAAGATAAATGGTAAATAGTTTCTATTTAGAATCTGTTAAATATTTATTTGATTTGTAAGTAGGAAATAAAATACTTTGTTTCCTTAGCTCAAAACAAAATCTTGTTCTTTAGAAAATGTTTTCAACTTGTTTAAATATATTATTTTTAAACAGACTTACTTAGATTCCAAAAAGGGCACCTAACTTAAATGATGTACATTAATTAAATCTTATGTATCACCAATTAAATGTATTGATATCACAGTAAGAATACACAACATCAAATTTTTAAACATGAATACCATATTTTATAAAAGTATACCACAAATCTAAATTATATTTCTTCTTTTACACCTGACCTGCAATTATGAATGGAACTTAACATATATGTATGTACAGGACCTACAGGTCAAATCTCTTTCAGTATTATAGAAACTATTTGTGATTTGTTCTTCAAGTTATTTTCTTTTTTCTAAAAAGAAAGCTGAACTAGGGAAGAAAAGCATTATTATTGAATTATTTATCCTCTGTAAATAATGAAATAATGTACTCAATTGGCTTTAGGAAATCAATGCATGAACAAGTAAATCGATTCTCCACCTGCCCAACAAGATAATTTAAAATCAATAATCAATAATCACATACTTTTATTTGTAACACTATCCTCTCCGTAGCACAGCTACGTTTGGAATTTATACACTTAAAAGTAACCAATTGTTTTTTGTCCTTCCTAAAAATCAGATAAGCTTTTAAAATTAAACTAACATTTATATTTATGATTATGCCACACATCAACCCCTACATTTATATTTAGGTGGGTGTTGATGGATGGCATAAAATGGTGGTTGTGCGTATGGCTATAACTCTTTTTATTAAATGTTTAAATTCAGTGACAGTACATATATATTAAAATATTGTTTATGATTGCTGAACTTTCAGGATAAAACGTAATAGAAGTATTATATCAGTTTCAGAATCTAATTTAGCAACAGTTCTAAGCATTATGCAGAAATTTGAAAACTTACCCCCATGTTCTGCAAACTTTGGGTTAGAAAGTATTTGTTTGCAAAATTTCAGACCGTTCCTGTACTGTTTGTGTTCATAGCACCTCTGTAAAGAGACAGAAAACCAAACACTCTAAATTCATATCACAAACATAAAAAACAGGTAAAGTCATTAATGTACCTACTTACTGATATCTAGCTATTATTTCTAATACACGTTTCCTGATGTGCAGAAATATAAATGTTGGAAAAAATGAAATTTAATTTCAGTAAACCAGTGATCAAGAACACAGTGACATTTTCTGGAAATCATAAAAATTCTTTTGAGTGCAATTATTTATGTTAACAAAATTAATCAGAATCTTAATTTATTTTTAAAAATCCACCTTTAATTTTCTTTAAAATCTAGAATAACCTATGTGCTAAATTAAATGTAGACAGTTGGCTGTATACATTTTAGTTTACAACTTTGGAATGAGATGGGAAGAGAAGATTGCCAAGATCATAAATCAATTCTTTCTACTTTATGAGATTTTTGTGACTCTTTACTTTATATGAAAAAAGATCATCTGATGAGAATATACTTTATTAAAATTAAATGAGATCTTCCTAATAATTATTTAAATTTTTTTTTTAAAAAAATTGATTTATATGCCGCCCTTCTCCGGAAACTCAGGGCAGCTTACAATGTGCTCAGCAATAGCCTTCATCCTTTTGTATATTTATACAAAGTCAGCTTATTGCCCCCAGAACTGGGTCCTCAATTTACCTACCTTAGAAAGGATGGAAGGCTGAGTCAACCTTGAGCCCTGGTGAGATTCGAACCTGCAGTAATTGCAGGCAGCTGTTCTTAATAACAGGGTGCTTTAGACCACTGTACTACCAAGGCTCTTAATAGTCTTCTGCGGACATGTAAATGAAGACTCAATCATCCAGACCAAAAGTATCTCAAAAGGTTAAATCATGGCAACTGGATCGATGTTTATTAATAAACTTTATTCCAGTTGCCATGATTTAACCTTTTGAAAAAGTCTTCTGGGAAATAATCAGATTCACAATTTAAATGAATTTGGTTAATATCAAGTATGCCCAACAAGGGAAAAATAATGTATCCCGATTTTTCCTTATCTTTCTTCCATGTTTGTATCCATCATTGCATACAGCCTATGATTGAAATGCCAGAACAGCAATAACCTGAAGGAGGTTAAGACATTTTGAAATTCTTTTGACTCTACCACTATGCCATGATTCTATCAATGACTCTTGAAGGGTGTGCCTTAAAGTATCCTGCTAAACTGGAATAACAATAGCATGTTTTCAAATATATAGTACACTCAAGATGGAAAAACAAAACAAAACACAGAGGTAAACAACTGACAAGCCATATAAGAAGTAAAGCATCACAAAGGGATTATCTTTATGAAGTTTATAAACTTTTTAGGTAATAAAAAGGTAAAAGAACACAGATAAATTTGCCCCAAATATCAAATATAATTTCAATTTTCATTTTATTCATTTATCAAATTCTTTTCTACTAACAGCAGGTCTTCTTAGTTTTCAGTCATTTAAGAGCCACCTTTAAAAAAATGGAAGCATATAAATTAAAAATTGTATTTAAGAAGTAAATCCAGACCAATATGATACAAATCAGGTGGCTGTTTATAAAATATCTGCTAAGCATCTGGTGGGGGGGGGGAGAGAAGTGTATGCTCTAAATTCTTATCAATTAACTCTTCTCTGAACACATTATACCATCAATTTATACCATCAATCAAGTTTTTAAAAGTGTGACAATAATATCCTTATAGATCTAATGGGGATCTAAAGCCGAACTACTGGGTTTTGATGAGTTGTATCTATTCTACAGACATTTTTGCTGTAAGACACTATGTGATATTTAAATATTAAAATTCACATTGATTTGTGCATTATAAGAAGTATTTCTGAAGTGTTCCTAATAGGAAATAATTGATAACATAGAAGATGAAGACCATCATCTGAATATGTTGTACAGCCCAACTTAGACTGTTTAGATGCTTAGTTTCTTGAACTCTCTTGTTTATCTTCCAGCAGCACCTTCTGAATTTTCCAAATGTCAAGCTTACAAAATATTTTTTAATGGTCCTCTGCTATTACACTAAAGTAAAGATACAGTGGTTCTTGGGTTACAGTGGCAATTGGGACTAGAATTTCCATCACTAAGCAATGCGGTTGTAAAGTGGCATCCAACCCAATATACAATACACACAATGTATATGTATAATTTATCATGTTATAAATTATATAACGTACCATGGTGCCAATATGTACATTATAAAACATACGTTTTGTATATTCTGTATATTAAATATTATATACTAATTAATTTTTAAAGATAAAAATATAAATGTACATTCTAATATTGTCTTCTCACACCCCAAACAATCATGTTGCATAGTTCTGTCATGTATACATCTCACTATGGAGACCATTGCTCTAGAGCACTTACATGTTGAACATTCCAGGTGTATGCCTTTATTTTTTAATTCCCAGTATTAAGGCCAAAAGAAATAAAAATCATAAAGTTTCACCCTGAAAGAGGAGGAAATTGAACTCTTCATACAAACTGCAGTATCACACTTTTATTTGTATCAAAAGCAATTTATGTTCAAAACAGGAAAAAAAATCCCAACATTCATTGCAGCAATTCTGATAAACAAAGAATACTTAGTTAAACATAGAATATTAATTTACATATTAATTTTCTGAATTTATGGAAAATGTAACTTTGCATCTAGATATTATAAAATCTATTAAGTTCCGAAATTGTAATTGCAAATAGTCATGGTTTCACTATATAGTAACAATATTTCATACCTCTGAGCTGAACATGATAAAATTAACTTTGTAGTTATTTTACAAAATTTAATTATTTAACAGTTAAATGTATACAAATCAGTGCTATATCATTGCCATTTATTTTTTCTATGATCAAGAAATATCTTTTACTATGATCAAGAAAGACAACCATTTCCTTAATGTAGCAACTAAGCTTATGTTTATTCAAGGTTTTTCAGTCTAGTCCCAATTACAGGTCAATGGCATTGGCAGTTATTTTTTGGATATAGGAGGTAGTAAAATAATTGGTAGGATTTAGGGAAGCATACCAGGTGACCAAAATATAATATATAAATGGGCTAATTCTGTCTGCACAAGACCCAGCCTTAAGAACAAATGCGTACGAAATCAGTATTAAGAAGACAGAAACAAACAGCAAATGCAGTGACAGAAAAGAAGCTGAAGAAACAGTGGACCACCTAGTTAGCTGCTGCAAGATCACACGGGCTACCATCAACGGCATGACAAAGTAGAAACAATGGTGCATTGGAATATCTTAAGACATACCATTTGCCTGCAAGTAACAATTGGTGGGACCACATAATAGAAAATGAAGAAGTTAAAGTATTCTGGAACTTTAGAACTCAAAATGACGAGCACCTGCCACTTTCTCCAGATTTAACAGTGGTTGATAAGAAAGACAAAATGTCTGGAGAGTGGATATGGCAGTACCTGGAGATAGCAGAATAGAAGACAGTGGAGAAAATCACAAGATACAAAGACCTACAAACAGCAAAAGGAATGAGTATGGCAAAAGAAAACCAAGATAGTACCAATGATAGGCACCCGGGGTACAAACCCAAAACATCTGGAGCACCACTTGACCACCATTTGTCACCTATTTCAGGTCCTTGGGAAGGACTGTGCTATTTATTATGCATTGCATCCTTGTAATGATATTGTAATGATATTACTAGATTATTCTTGCCTCATAGAAATGGAGATAGTCAAACAGTCAAAGAAACGCTTAGATTGGCTGATTGTGTGAAAGATAGTCAAGAACAAGCATTGATGCAAGTTAAAAATTGGAATATATTGAATGTGCAGGAAACAAAACATTAATATTCAAATAATGTAATAAAAACATGAACAGAATGCCAGCAAAGGAAAGCATTATATGGTCCATTTTTACAAAATATTGAGAGGAAAATGTGTAAAGATAAAACACGGCAAAGGCTAACAACTGGAACATTAAAAAAAAAAAAGAAACTGGATACTTGATTTGGGCAGCTCAAGAGCAAACCATTTAAACTAATGCAATAAAGGCCAGAGTTGAAAAAAAATCATCAAATAATTAAAAATGCTGTGCAAAGAGGCAGAAGAAATTTATTTATTTATTTATTTATTTATTATTGAATTTCTATACCGCCCTTCTCCCTGAGGACCCAGGGCGGTGTACAGCCAAAATTAAAAAACATGCAGGACAAATATTAAAAAACAATTAAAAGATATATAAATTTGGCCCAATTAAAACTCATTACCAATTAAAACATTTAAAAACAATTAAAAATTTCATCTTAAGCCAGCCCGGCTTGCTTGAAAAAATGGGTTTTAAGGGCACGACGGAAGGCACTGAGGTCCTGGATTCTCCTTATCTCTGGGGGGAGCTGATTCTAGAGGGTAGGTGCCCCCACAGAGAAGGCCCTCCCGCTGGGGGTCACCAGCCTACACTATCTGGCTGATGGCACCCTGAGGAGGCCCTCTCTGTGGGAGCGCACGGGTCGATGGGAGGTTGTCGGTAGCAGCAGGCGGTCTCGAAGATAGCTAGGCCCTATGCCATGGAGCGCTTTGAAGGTGATAACCAACAACTTGAAGCGCACCCGGAAGACCACCGGGAGCCAGTGCAGCTCGCGCAGGAGCGGTGTTACATGGGAGCGCCATGCTGCTCCCGTCACTACCCACGCTGCTGCGTTCTGGACCAGCTGGAGCCTCCAGGTGCTCCTCAAGGGGAGCCCCATGTAGAGAGCGTTGCAGTAGTCAAGGCGAGAGGTGACGAGGGCATGAGTGACTGTGCACAGGGAATCCCGATCAAGAAAGGGCCGCAACTGGCGAATCAGGCGAACCTGACAAAAGGTCCTCCTGGTTACAGCCGTCAGATGTTCCTCCAAGGACAGCTGCCTATCCAGGAGGACTCCCAGATTGTGAGCCCTCTCTGTGGGGGCCAATGACTCGCCCCCAATAGTCAGTGATGGAGTCAACTGACTATATCGGGATGCCGGGAGCCACAGC